ATGGCGACGTCCCACCTTAAAGCAGCTCCAAAGTCACCCTTGGCTTTTATAAAACGCAGAAACTAAAGTCTTCAAGGTTTCTTCCTGTTAAAAGGAGCTTTCCTCTCCGCTGTAGCTCAGTAAGGGGACTGCTGAAAAGTCACTGACTCAACAAATCTGTGACTTTACAGCAATCAGCTGGGTTTCATTACATAGAAAACATTGAACTAATTGGAATAATGAACTCCATCACTTGTTTAATGATTTGATTTGGAGTGAAGACAGCGGGAGGGTTAAGGAGCCTGTAAACTGGATTCAATTTAATAAAGCTAAAGAGAATTCAATTTTATTGAATTGAATGAAAAAAAAAACAAAAAAAAAAAAAACAACTAACTCTGCCAGAGTGCCCTCTTTGGGTCACTTCTGCCGGTCCCAAGCCCGGATAAAAGAGGAGGGGTTGAAACTGTGACAGATAAAACATCACATGAGGTATTCAGTCATTTATGGTTTCATTTATGTCACGATTACTTCAAGGCTGGACTGCCTCAGTCAGCCGCCTACAGGATGTCCCAAACGCAGCAGCACGCCTTCTCACAGGGGCAAGGAAATATGATCGCATCCCCGCTGTACTGCTGGAGGGACTGTAAGATATTGCTGCTAGTTTTTAAATGTTTGCATGGTTTAGCTCCCTCTTATGTGGGACCTGATCGAGCCGTACGTCCCGTCCCTTCTCTGCGATGGCCCTGTCCCGTGGACCAGTCCAAGCCTGGAGTGAGGACAGCTGATTGCTTGTCCTCTTTTAAAGCACGTCTAAAACGCATCAGTGTGCTTTGCCATTTCAGCGATAAGGCTGCAAGCTTTCTTTTCCTCCTGCTGTTAAAGCTGCTTTCCAGAGTTCTCCCCTAGAAATGATGTATGACTTTTCAGAAATCCGTAAAAGTGATTTTCTCATCATGTACTGTGATGTCATGTAAGCACTACGTCTTTTTTTCTTTGCTAAGCACGCCCCGCAGAGCTCCGTGCAATAGGAAACTGAGCGCCGACCAGAACCAACCAATAGCGTTAGACTAGCGCTTACTTGCTTCAAATGTAAGGAATACCTCGGCTGATGCAGAGTTGATGAACTTTTCTCTGACAAGAAAGTCTCTAAAATATAAATATATGAGAACACAACATGACACGAGAATAATACTCGTAAAACGACGTGTTTTAGCTGTTTGTCGGCTACAGAAGCACATTTATAAACAGAAACGTGAAGTCGCCATCTTAAACAAACAGAGCAACAGATGTTTTGTGTGATGTGCTTGTCAGCCGCTAGATGGTGCCATCGGATAAGAGAAATACTCCAGAAAGCTTTAATCGTTCACATTTATTTTATGTGTAGAACTGACGCTTTCATTTCTGTAACTTATACTAGGCATTTGGTCCTGGTCGTCTGTGATTCTAACTTTCTGTAATGGTCAGTTAGCTTTTATGCTTTTATATTTTTGCCCATGTTCAGCACTTTGGGGTAACGGCTGTTGCCGTTTATATGTGCTTGACTTGACTAAGTTGTCTAAAATCTCATTACTAATAAACTTTTATTGATTTCTCTTGAAATATTATGTAGATTACATTCTAGCTCCCCAACTGTTTGTCATGGTGTGGAGAGAAGTTCCTGCATTCCTATTGCAGTAATCTTTTGTATGTTGCATGTCTTATTTTCAAGCATCTATAAATTCATCCGTTTATCTGTGGTCAGGTCGCGGGGGCAGCAGCCTACGAAGGGAGGCCCAGACTTCCCTCTCCCCATCCACTTGGGCCAGCTCCTCCAGGGGAATCCTAACTGCTCCTGGTGTGACGTGCCTGGAAAACCCCACCAGCGAGGCGTCGAGGGGGCATCCTAACCAGCGCCGGCGCTCCGCACGAGCACACCACGCATAGCGCGTAGGGCACCACGCCGGGGGAGGGGCACCAAACGCAAGCTTATGAAAAATAATATATATATAATAAAGACAGATTTCAATTAGAAGATTTGCAAAGCAAGTTAACAGCATGTTTACAGAGAGAAAACAATAGAATAAGTAAAGGAGATGGACCATGTCCACTTTTCACTCTGTCCGGGAGTCCGGACTGGGGGTTCTTGTGAAAATATCCGGATTTTCATCCAGGAGCAGGGATCGAATTATGGGGGAGCTTTATATCCTATACATCCAGGGGAGCCGGAAAAAAGTTTTCCACCTATATTACATCATTTATGGACTCTTTTGAGCAGAGAGCTCAGACAGCAGCACAGCACCGATCGTTGTTGCGCAGCGCTCCAGGCAGCTGCGTCCAGCACACGGTCCATTCTCAAAGTGGCGCAACCAAAAAACTATAATTAACCCACGATCGTTCATGTCCGCACATGTTCTCTACTTTCTGTCTAATTTGTGCCTGAAGCGCTCTGCTACTGCGGAGCTCATCACCTGTGCTGCGGTGATTTCACCTCACTGACGCAGCATCGAAACGCGCTCTCCGCTTTACGGTCAGGAGATCCCTTTGATCTGCTCAGAAGTAACTGATGAAGTGAAAAAGTAAGAATCCAGGCAACAGTTTTTTCTGGAGAGTTTAGAGGAGATGCAGGAAGATGAGAGACAGACAGGACAGGAAATGGTTAAATAAAAACAAAACAAAGTGTTGAAAAGTAAAATGTAGGTAGATTTATCTCCACTACGTGTTTTTACCTGTATAAAACAGTAAGTCATACACATGTAATATTTATACATCTGATACAACTCAGATCACCTTCATAACTCAGTCACACACCCAGGGCCGTTTCAAGACATTTTGGGGGCCAAGGTAAAATACCCCACCCCCCCCACACACACACACACCACCACCACCCCCACCCCCATAACTGGGCTCCCCAGAAGCCTCTGTGTAATTCATACCCTGTCCAGGAGTGTTAGTTATACAGTGTTTATAAAAGCCCCTCAGACATCACTGACATGTTCTAATATTATCAGATGAAGAACTAAATTATCAGACATGCTGTCTCATCTGCTTCTTTTCTAAACTTGCAAAAAGTAACAAAATCATTTGAAAGCCACTATTTGTGGATTCTCTGAAAGTTTCCATGGAGTGTGTGACAACTTATTTTATCATTGATCCTATCGTCTAATCTCACAGCTGAAACAAGCATCCTTAATAATCTGTGCACAGGAAGCTTACCGATGCTGTAGTAAAACAAAAGGTATAATAATTTATCATTAATAAAACCTTGTTGCAGCACTAAAGCAGAAAAATGAGATTTTGCAATAAATATACTAAATATTTACATATGAATTGTTTTAGAGCCCTTTAATTGGCAGAATCTGATATTAATTTAGTTCTTACAAAAAATGGGTCCCAACGTGGTTTGTGTGGCGTTGCCATAGTGTGACGTCATAGGCACAGCTCCCCTGTCCTCTTGTTTGGAAATGGAAATATGATCACCCTACATTAAACAAACTGTCCACCCGGGCTTTTGTGCTGCACAGAGACGCTTCGCTGCCTATGACTCTGAACGTCAGTTGAGAGTCAGTCTCATGCAGACTGACCAATGAAGAGAGGGCCTCAAGTTAAGACTCTCTCCTCATTGGTCAGTCCACACGAGGTGGGTCAAAGGTTACCCTGAGCGGGTTACGTGACATCAGGCATTCAAGTATTGAGTATATTTACTGCATATTACAGTAAAATATTCTGTATGTGACCATATTATGGTGATCCTTGGGTCATGATGATGGGGCCCTTGAATATTGTTGCCCAGGGTACAACAAAGTATTAATCTGGCCCTGCCTACCGGGCATTCATTAGTAGCTGAGTGAGAGAGGCTGAGAGGGAGAGAAACTCAGAGAAGCTTTAAAGCTTTTTTACTGCTGGAGAAAAAACGTAGCAAGTCATCATCTTCCTAAATGCAGTTATTCTCTTCTGAATAAGCACTTCTTTAAAGAAGAAATAGTTAAATGCAACAAAGGGAAAAATCCTTTTGTTCAGCCAGTTCATGCGACTTGTATCAACAAATAAGTCAGAGCAGTGTTAAAGGTTGTTCATCTAAAAATAAACCTTGAAGAGTTTGAAGATTTTTTTGTTTTAATAAGTTCATCTTAAAACATCTTTCTCAAGTCAAATAAAGTTTCCTCTGTGAGGTCAGATAGGCCCATCTGTGCTGTTTTGAAACAGAAACAAACAAATGAATCATATTTGTCCACCCAAATACTTGATAAATATCACAAAAATAGGAAGGACAAAAACACCGTCAAGATAAAGTAAGAATTTTTTTTAAATAAGCGGCTGTTTGTGATTAATCATGAGTCAACTATGGACATGATTTATATCATTATTGAATAGCCTATGTGGCCTATAGGCTAAGTAACTGAGATTTAATATGAAAAATTAGACAAACCTATTTTCAAATTAGGTATTTGCTCAATGTTGATATATATTTCATAAACATTTGCGGGCCAAGAGGAACATCAGCTGCTGATGGTATAATTTGAAGAAAAATGTCCATTATGCTAACCTCCTCCCTTCATATTCAGAATTTTCTAGTTGTGTATAAAATGTGTACATTGTGCCTCTCTAGTTCTTAATAAAGGTTAAATAGTTTTGAATTTAGTCATGTCACATGCCAGTGATTGTGTTGTTTTTTCTGTGTGTGTGTGTGTGTGTGTGTGTGTGTGTGTGTGTGTGTGTCGGGGGGGGGGGCACCACGAAGACTTTGTGCTTAGGGCACCAAAATAGCTAGCAACGGCCCTGAATTTATGAATACAAATTTTAGAATCCTGCTCTCACCTTTTTTTTTTACACCCAGTGTTACAAGCCGCGGCCAAGACCTTTACTTGGACTGAAGTACCTACATCCCAACGCTAGGGGGCGAGATCACGCTTCAGTGCATCAATAAATGACAGGGTCGTGTTAGAAGAAGAGCCTATTTTTTTTTACACGTTGGACTCACACTCCAGCACAGTAGGTGGCGGAAATGCACGTAAAAGTTAGATGCCACCCGCCAATAAACACGAAGAAGAAGAAGAAGAAAAAGAAGAAGTGACCTGTTTACATCGGGTGAGTGGCGGTAATGCGCTAGGTAGCTTGCATCCGCCGCTAAACACTCAAAGAAGAAGAGCCTAACAAAACATGGCTGGAAGGAAAACTGAGGAGGAGGTCCACAGCGTAAGCCGTTCATCTGACCCACCAGGACCAGGAGAAGACTCCAGCTCTCAGAGTTCTGATGCTCCTTATCCGCAGGACCTCCGGAGTGTTCTGGTCACCAGTGTTTTAAATCTCGAGGAGCTGGACGTTGACCTGTACAGGTGTTTGAGTTCAAACTGCACGTGTAACTGAACAGGAAGCAGCTTTTATTAGTGAAACAAGTTGTAGTTTAACGCCATTGCTAATTAATGCACTATTATTACTCGGTAGTTCATGTTTATTCTGAACGAATGAGTGGTAACATATCGGTAGTACTCATTTAACTCATCCATCTAGCTTTAGCTAATTACTACGGAGCCATCAGCAGCACGTCATAGCTGCTGATAGGATAATTTCAACACCGTCTCTTGTTGTCTTTTCTCAGGGGGACACACCACTGGGTTCCGCACACGCAGCGGTTGTTTGGAGGTCAGATAATGGGTCAGGCTCTTGTGGCTGCAGCCAAATCTGTCAGCGACAACCTGTACGCCCATTCCCTCCACTGCTACTTTGTCCGAGCAGGTAAGGTAAGCTAACAGGTGTTCTATCGAAATGTGTTTCTGGCATGGGGCCAGAATCAATGGCGCCCCCAAGGGGTGGCCAGGAAATTGCTGGCTAAACTCTCCCAGAGTTACCACGAGGACGACTTTGGTATGCCACCCCTATCTAAATTTTCTGGAGGCACCCCTGGCCAGAATACATGTCGGATCTCCTTCCTATATAGGGAGCCTAAGTCTCCTCCTCATTTTGTCAGCTCATGGGTCCTCCGAAGAACACAAAATGAATGTAAGTCAACGGGGCTAAAAACGCTATATTCTAACCCGCTTTGCCTTACGCCCTGGATCACACATGTTGTACTGCTGTTTAAATGAAAAGTGATGATGATGAGTGTTTCGACCGCACCAGTCACGTACTTTAAGATTTACCAGCTTGTAAAAGTTTGTAATTAGCATGACTGCACACCAGAAATCGGTACGTCGCATATGTGACGTCACCTCATAATCTCCTCTCCCCTAGCGTAGCTGCTACTTACCACATGACCAGATTTATGGAGGTTCTTTCCTCCTGTGGGAAGTTTGCTGAACTTACAGCCCTTTTCCCTCAGTTCTCTCCGTGTCTGGTTCAGTGATGTCATCTTCATGAAGCACATTTGTAGTCCTGGACTTAATTTCACACAAAACCTAAAATAGCATTCCCCCTGTTCGAAAATAATGGTATCATTACGTGTCTTTAAAATTCACGGACATCATATGTGAAACCCATGGCACAAAACAAGCGGAACTAGAAAATAAAGTTTTTAGCCCCGTTGACTTGTATTGATTCTTTTTGTTCTTCCCATGATGCAGAAGTGACTTAGGCTCCCTATGGACACCCAGCAGGGCTCTGGGATCCTTAGGAAACAGTCAGCTGGTAGAACCGGGTCAGAACCAAACAGGGTGAAGATGCTTTTAGTTACTATGCTGCTCACAGATGGAATCAGCTTCCTCATGACCTCTAATGTGCCCCAACTCTAGAAACTTTTAAATCAGAATGAAAACCCTTCATGTTTTCATCAGCCTTTGCATAAATGTTCTTATGCTGCACCTTCTGCTCTGTATTTGCTCACACTTTAACTTTGTCTCTTTTTTAGTTTTTAATGTGTATTGCCTCTGTGTGTATGAAACGTGCTATATGAGGAAAGCTAGAACAGGAATTACAAAGAGATGTTTTTGATTAAATACTAACACGACTTGCCATACTGGCTTGCTTTGTTTATAGACAGAGGATTGTAATCCAACACTACTAAATGAACCCTCATTCGCTGGAAGGTTCTAATTATTAGTGTGAAATCACTTCAGCCACTACCGTAATCTGACTCATTTGGAGCTTATTGTCTGCGTGATGATCTCAGAGATTATAACAATAAGTATATTTATTACACTGGCTGATGCGGCGCTGGATTGGCAGACCGGGGTGGTGGTTCCCTTATTTAAAAAAGGGGACCGTAGGGTGTGTTCCAACTACAGGGGGATCACACTCCTGAGCCTTCCTGGTAAGGTCTATTCAGGGGTTCTGGAGAGGAGGGTCCTCAGATTCAGGAGGAGCGATGTGGTTCTCGTCCTGGCCGTGGAACACTGGAGCAGCTCTATACCCTTAGGGGGATCCTGGAGGGTGCGTGGGAATTTGCCCAACCAGTCTACATGTGTTTTTTAGATTTGGAGAAGGCGTTTGACCGCGTCCCTCTGGGGGCCCTGTGGGGGGTACTCTGGGAGTACGGGGTACCAGGCCCTCTGATACGGGCTGTTAGGTCCCTGTATGACCGGTGTCAGAGCTTGGTCCGCATTGCCGGCAGTAAGTCGGGCTCGTTCCCAGTGAGAGTTGGACTCCGCCAAGGCTGCCCTTTGTCACCGATTCTGTTCATAACCTTTATGGACAGGATTTCTAGGTGCAGCCAAGGTGTGGAGGGCATCCGTTTTGGTGGCCTGAGGATCAGGTCTCTGCTTTTTGCAGATGATGTGGTCCTGTTGGCTTCATCAGAACACGATCTTCAGCTTTCACTGAAGCGGATCGCAGCCGAGTGTGAAGCAGCTGGGATAAGAATCAGCTCCTCTAAATCTGAGACCATGGTCTTGATTCAGAAAAGGGTAGAATGCCATCTCCGGGTCAGGGATGAGGTCCTGCCCCAAGTGGAGGAGTTTTAAGTATCTTGGGGTTGTTCACGAGTGAGGGAAAACTGGAGCGTGAGATCGATAGGCGGATTGGTGCTGCATCTGCAGTGATGCGGGCGTTGTACCGGTCTGCCGTGGTGAAGAGAGCTGAGTCAGAAGGCGAAGCTCTCGATCTACATTCCTACCCTCACCTATGGTCATGAGCTTTGGGTAGACACCGAAAGAACGAGATCGCGGATACAAGCGGCCAAAATGAGTTTTCTCTGAAGAGTGTCTGGGCTCTCCCTTAGAGATAGGGTGAGAATCTCGGTCATTCGGGAGGGACTCAGAGTAGACCCGCTGCTCCTCCTCATCGAGAGAAGCCAGTTGAGGTGGCTCAGGCATCTGGTCAGGATGCCTCCTGGACGCCTCCCTGCTGAGGTTTTCTGGGCACGTCCAACCAGGAGGAGACCTAAAGGTAGACCCAGGACACGGTGGAGGGACTATGTCTCTCACCTGGCCAGGGAACGCCTTGGGATTCCCCCGGAGGAGCTGGCCCAAGTGGCTGGGGAGAGGGAAGTCTGGGCCTCTCGCCTTAGGCTGCTGTCCCCGCGACCCGACTCCGGATAAGCGGATGAAAATGGATGGATGGTGTATTTATTATTAAAGTTAAAATTCCATAGTTGTCACACTCACTTGGTGTGTGGTGAAAATTGTCCTCCACATTTGACCCATCCCCACAGTTAGCCCCCCCCCCCCCCCCCCCCCCCCCCCCCCCCAACCCCGTAAAGCTGAGTGTCAAGCAGGAAGGAATTAGGTCCCATTTTTAAAGTCTTTGGTTTGACCCGACAGGGATTTGAACCTTGATCTCCCAGTCCCAGGGCGGACACAGGTCACTGATCTCGTTCAGGGTGTCACAAGTTTTTTTCTTTAGCAGCTTTTGGAATCTAAAATATTCCCACACAGGTGATTTCTAGCACTTTCTAACGGGGCAGTCCCGATGCTTGCTGTCACTAGCTCTGCTTCTGCTGTGTGTGCGTTCAGTTTACCTTTGTTGTTGTCCGCGCCGGTCTCGCTGTTGTCGTTTTCTTTTTTTTATTGGCAGTGTTGGAGAGGTCTTTACGGGGGTTAACCGGGGTTAATGGTCAAACCGGTTAATCCCTGCAACCCTAGTCCCAGTAGGAATATTAGATCGCACACTTGAGTAACTACAAATGACTCATTACTTTTTCAACTATATCGCCTGAAATGAGCCAACTGGCTCAAGGGGGAAGCTGTTGTTGACTTAGTGTTCAGGACAGAGTGGAAAGTGTCTAGGCTACAGGTTATATAAAAGTCACTCATCTACTTCCAGACCACGGGTCCCCGACTGCCCCCCAAAAATGAACGGGAGTCTATGACAGGATAAATGTTATTTTCTGATCTTGTCCTTGTACGTGCCATTGAATTCACATGTGACGCCCAAACATTTTAAGGACGCATTCTGATGCCAAGAAAGCGCTCATTTTCCAACGGGACAAAAGAAATTTTAGGTTTCGTGTGAAAAGACGTAGCAGACTACAAATACTCGTCTCGCCAAATTGACATCATCGAACCAGACATAGAGAAGGGATGTGAAAACTTCTGGAATTGGAACTCCTAATCCTCAACTGAAATGGTTTTCCAACAGTCTTGAAGGACTCTCGAAGCTCATCAAGAGTGTGAAGCAGTAACCAAAGCAAAGGGTGGCCTTTTTGAAGAAAATAGAAAATAAAACATGTTTTCAGTTATTTCACCTGTTTTGGTTAAGTACATAACTCCTCATGTGTTCATTCATAGTTCTGATGCCTTCAGTGAGAATCTACCAATATAAATAGAAAATCAATCAATCAATCAATCAATGCTTTATTTATAAAGCGCCTTCCGCAACCCTGTCAGGAAGCCCAAGGCACTGAACATGGTACAGAAAGTTAAATATAGTGAATAAATCAGAAAATAAAAGCAATTCAAATTACAGATTACAAATTACAAAAAAAGGTGAAACATTCTGGTACCGGACAAATGGGTAAAACAAGGGGTAGAGTGAACCAATAAAAACTGTGAAAGAAATCCAACATAAACGAGGGCCGAATCAAACATGTTCAGGGAACGCCAAGCGGAGGAGGTGTGATTTTAGGTGACTCTTAAAGACTGGCAGAGATGGGGGAAGCCTAACTGAGGGTGGCAACTGGTTCCAGAGTGACGGTGCTAGTACTGAGAAAGCCCGGTCCCCGCGAGTACGAAACCTAGAACGAGGGACAGCGAGCAGGCCTTGGTCAGAAGAGCGCAGAGCGCGTGATGGGGAATGTCTGTTCAGGAGGGTGGCCAGATAGGGAGGGCCACCACCCTGGAAGAAATGATAAACAAAGACGAGGAGTCTACAGTGTGAACAATAGCAAACCGGAAGCCAGTGCAGGGAGGCCAGAACCGGACTGATGTGGTCCTGTTTCCTGGTCCCAGTCAGGAACCTGGCTGTGCTGTTCTGCACAACCTATAGAGCTCCGGGAGTTGACGTCACTTCTCCCGGCATGCAACAGTTCAAATCGAAACGGCGCCATATTGGCATGCAGAAGCCGGCAGCTGGACTATTTGTTATTGTCAGAAAACTCAATCAGACAGGAAATATGGTAGATTCCTGTTGTGCCCCAGGATGCAGAACAGACGCGGACGACATAAGGAATGAGCCATCTACAGGATTCCCCAAAATCCGGAGCGCCGCAAACGTTGGATCATTGTAATAAAACGCGCTAGTGACCGGGCAAAAATGAAGCTGTGGGATCCCGAGAGAAGGTTTTCGCTTATGCAGCGACCGCTTCATATCAGGTACTTAAACCAACGTTTCCTCAACTGTGTATGGTGTTTATTTTAAATGCTTTTATTATGATTCTTAGTGGGCTTCCTAAACTTATTTTGGCGTGGCTTTTTCTGTCTTATTACTCATAGCAGCAAGTAAACATCACGTAAAACGTTTCCTCGTGAGTTCTGCGTGCTGCCGTTTCCGTGTTTTATGATCACAACAATTAACCGGCTAAGCTGTATTTAATTTTTAAGCAATGGTTGATCAATTGTCAGATCACACATAAAAAGCACTTTGGATTGCTATTATCTGTCTCACCGAGACTACTTACGTGTAAATCTGTTATTTGTCCGTCCATCCATCCATTTTCATCCGCGTATCCGGAGTCGGGTTGCGGGGGCAGTAGCGTGACTTCCCTCTCCCCAGCCGCCGGAGCCAGCTCCTCCGGGTAAATCCCAAGGGGTTCCCCGGTCAGGTCCGGTAAGAAGTCCGCTCCGACATCTTCTGGCGTTTTTAAAAAGTATCCCAGGGGCACGGTAAGGGTCGGAGATGTTTAGTCTATTTAATTTCTGACTATATAAAATGATTTCTTCTGTTTTAAAGTGTGAAGTAAACTCCGACGAAGTAAAATCCAAGCGGATCCCGTTCATGTTCATGGTTACATCCGTGTTTGTTTACCTTTTTTGCATGCCAAAATGGCGTCCACTAACTGAGAGTCACGCGGGGTCCGGAGCTCTATAGGCGATGCAGTGATGACTGACACAACCCTGCATAGAGAGAGCTGCAGTAATCAAGCCTAGAAATAACAAAGGCATGCAGTACCCGCTCCAGGTGGGCTCTCTGCAGCATAGGCTTGATTTTTGCAAGGCGTCTCAGGTGAAAGAAACTGGACTGGATCACAGAGTTGATGTGAGCATCAAATTTAAGTCCAGCATCAATTTTCACCCCAGACTGGTAACAACTGGTTTTGAGTAGGGAGAAAGCGGGCCAAGATCAACATAACGACCCACATTCCTGCTGTTGGGGTGAAAAACAATGAGCTCTGTCTTTCCCTCATTCAGATGCAGAACGTTGGCCATTAGCCAAGACTTCACCTCATTAATACAGGACACAAAGGACTGGATAGAGTGACCTTTGTCCTGACACAATGGAGAGTAAATCCGGCAATCATCAGCATAGAGATGGAATGATAGGCCATGTTTACGAAAGATTGACCCCAGAGGAAGCAGATAAATGGCAAGAAAAAGAGGACCAAGGATCGATCCCTGCGGGACCCCCCAGCGGAGCCCCTCCCAAGAAAAAAAACATCACCCAGTTTAACACAGAATGTCCTGTTGTGGAGATACGATCTAAACCAGTCCAGAGCTGACCCTTTGATCCCAGCCCATCGTTCCAAGCGATCCAGTAGCATCGCGTGGTCAACTGTGTCAAAGGCTGCTGTCAGGTCTAACAACAGAAGCACCACAGATGTACCCTGATCTAGTCATAGATAGATATCATTTAAATAAAGACAACACATTGAAGGAGAAGGTGTGTCCAAGCTTTTAGCCTGTACTGTATAAAATAAATTCTGTTATAGCACATAGCTCAGACCTCCTGCTCTCCCCATTCTCACAGACCCTCTGTAACATTTGTGCATTAGCAGCATTTTCTTGAACAGCGTCTTTTCCCCCTTCTCCACTTCTCCGTTGTTTTTTCTACATCTAGATGATGATAACGACGCACACCGGTGCACCGAGTAACTGGGAGCAGGTGTCTCATGATATCATCCCCGTGTCACAAAGAAGTTCAGATGAGCCACTGAGCTGCGTGTGTTAACGGGATGGTAGTTCAAACTCCCGCTGACTTTATTTGCCAAATGCAGGAAGGGCCAAAGTGCCTGACGGCTGCAGTAGAAGCGTGACTCCGCAGCAGCAGCAGGCGTGAATCAGTGGTCTCCAGCTCTGCAGCTGTAGCTTTCAGAGAAAGGTTAATGTCCTCATGCAAATGTGCAGATTATCATTCTCCTTCCTTACTCCCGGAAGAATGGTTCGGAGTGCAAATGGTTTCTTTGTTGCTATGTGTTATTGAAACTCTACTAAAAACACATTTCCTGACCTATAAACACACAAACAGCTGCATGCAGTTTCCCACTCTTCCTAGAAATGTGCTCGGGTGTTTTTGGATCATATCCCGCCTCCTACACACTCACATGGCCAATGCACTTTACAAACACTCTGCATATAAATAAGCCAGCTGAGTGGGGGTAACCATGGCAACTGGGGCATTTAGAAAACGTTGCACCGAGAATGAAGTCAAGGTGCCTGTGGATGACATCGAGGCACAGACAAAGGTTTTCCTGCCTTCAAGCAGCTGTGAGCGTGGCAGAGCAGGGACACGACCACGGGAGAGAGCTGGCTATAACTGATGGCGTCCTAAACGGCTTCATTACGGTGCTCAGGGATCGCTAAGATGTGAACATTTACATGATATAGCATTTAACTTAACCCGAATGGGCTTTAGGCAGGAAATGTCATTGTTGTTCATCGTATCAGCCCGGCTTATGAGGCGCTGGGGGAACCCTGATGAAAGACACTGATCAATATAAGGATGTGGTTTATATATCAGGGCTTCTGTATTCTGCATGCTAGCATAGATGCTATGCTTTTTGTCTTAATAGACTTAAAGATGTCAGTGGTTCAGCGGGGGTGGGTGGTTGCACACGTTCCGCTGCTGTTTCTCACCAGTATCAGCTGACAGAGGGCTCTAGTTTCGTTGCGTTGTTCGTGGAGGGGGGCGGGGCATGACGCTTAGCCTGGCAGGCTGCCAGGCTTATAAAGCTCTGGGGGAAACCCTGACAAAGATGAACATGAAAGCAACGGCAGCGGTGTGACCTGTAACTGCTCTACAGTTATTTATTCATGCTGATATTTAATCAATAATAATTCTTATGTTCTTGTTCTGTCTTGACCTCAAACGATGGATTACTGATATGAAACAGATGAACAGTCCTGCAGTAAATACCAGCTCTAAAGGTTCTGTTGTTCAGATGTTCTGATTCAGCTCTGGTTGTTGTGGAGGACACATCGTGTTACCATGGTGATCCTGACTGTGTAACTTGCTTCAGCAGGTTATACAAGTCCGCATCATGTGGTTTAACTTAAAAGTATGAAATGTTCATGTTCACCCTAGCCCTGTCAAATGATCTACGTCTCTAACTAGACTAGCCATGGCTTCTCAGGATAGAAGCAGCTTTTCTCTAGGTGGGATGGTTAAAGTGAAAACCTTTGTCCTCTACCACCAGTCAGCTAACTCTTCACGGTGCCAAAACAACATCAACTTCGTCACCTTACCAGAGGAAAACACTCTGAAGCACAGAGAATGAGCAGTGTTCAGTGGTGGAGCTACCAGTGTTTGGAACCATCAGGAGCTCCATGGCCACATTCCATTCTAGCCTGTGGGAGTGTCCCAACACTGTATCTCCTTGGGTCTAACCGTGTTTCCCTCCCGTGAGCTTAGCCCAGGTTGCTCACTCATACCTTTGCACTCCCCGCATATCTAAATCATTTATTATTATTATTTGGTTTTCAGGGGACCCGAAGGTTCCGGTGCTGTACCAGGTGGACCGCACAAGAGATGGCCGCAGTTTCACTGTTCGCTCTGTGAAAGCCATCCAGCACGGACAGCCCATATTAATCTGCCAGGCGTCCTTCCAGGTGCTGCAGACGAGCCCCCTGCAGCACCAGTTCACCATGCCAGTGGTCCCTCAGCCTGAAGACCTGCTAACCGCCGAGGAGCTCATCCAGCGTTATCTCAGGTAGTGAAGCCAGCGTGTTGACCCTTACACAAATACCACAAGTTTTCTCTACAGTGGAATCTGTAGAGAACTGAGCAAATAAATCATTTCATGCCTTTGGTAACTATAGAAGATCTCCTGAAACGGTTTCATGTTGCTGGAAAGTTTCATCCAACATCCTTTCCTCGGGCTGCTTTTCCTGTAGAACGAGCAGAGATGAACTGTTTGTCTTCTGCTAAATGTTGGTGAAGCAGCACATTTACATCAACAACAGGACAAAAGGACGGAGAGAGTTTGGGTTTGTGGTGGGAAAGAGCAGGGCGCTGTTACTTTAGGAGAGCAGCACATCTCCTCATCTCTCTCCGTATGAGCCTATGCTGACCCCTAGTGTTCAGAACACAACAGTGTTGCTGATCTGAAATATATGAACTGATGTTTATCAGCCAAGGGAATAGGGCTGGGCCTCAAATCTATATTGCGATATAATCTGAAGCATGTGCGGTAACGCTATATATTGAGATATATTTTTTCCTCTGTTTATAGATGTCAAAATGACATGCTTTAAAATATCCTCATGTGGCAAATACTGTATATGCCACTTGAGGCATTTAGGCCTCCTCCTCTGCCCACTCCATGCTTGCAGTCACTCCATTCTGTTGACCCAGTGGCAGCAGGGTGCACATCTTGAGCTGTTGTTACAGGACCAGAGCGTTTTTAAAACGGGATTTGCCGCGGCACCCTGGGGAGGGTTTTGGCATTTATAGCAGCAAAGCTGAAACCTCTCCAACCAAGATGGGATATAGGGAGGTCGCTGGGCGCCCCCCCGCATGTGACGTACAGGGTCGCGCATTCAGCGTCAGACGGAAGACACGTCAGACAGATGAAATTTCTTTTCCAGGACCGTTAGCTTTGATGTGACCTGCTTTTTGTCCCGCTTGACGCCCCGCTCAGCCGGTGTTTTCACCACTCTGTAGAACAGCTGGCTGTCTCTCGCCGTCCCCGTAAAAAAGCTCCATGGTCTCCGCGTCCTTCCAGCCGGCACCCGGCGCGCAGTACACATGACTAAAGCGACCACCCTCTTTTGCGGGGGGGCTTCCCACAGTCGCTCCAATGGGATTAGCGGGGCTGACACGCGTTTAGCCGTCAGAGGCGAGGGGCTGATGCTGCAATATTACTGCCAAGCGAGGCGGAACGAATGCCGCAATATTCGCGCAACGCCATGCCGGCATGGCGCGTTTATAGACATACCATTGCGGTAATATTACGCCGATATGCCGGCATGGTGTATCTTATAAAAGCACCTTTAGTGATGTCATGAGTTATCGCGGTATTGCGATATAGCCAAAAACTTTATCATTACCCAGTTTTATATTGTTTCTACCTTATATCGTTTATATTGGCCACCTCTACAAGGGAACACAAACTTCTGTGGGTTTCTGTACCCAGTAGATAATTAAAGTGTGCATCACTGTGACTTATTTCTGCTGACGTTGGACCTCTCCACGGATCTTTACGTTTGCAGTAAACCGGACTTGACGGAGAATGCCAGAGAAGGTCTGAACAAACTGCTGGCTAACGAGGTCCCCATTGAGATCAAACCTGTCCGCCCAGCGCACTTTCACAGACTCGCTCCAGCAGAACCAAAGCGGCTCTTCTGGGCGCGGGCACGAGGATATATCGGTAAAACACTCCGTCATGATGTGTTGTGTTCGTATGCAAAGTTTACCTGGCTAGTCAGTCCAGTAGCTTCATTCATAACCGAAGCATCAACGATAAATGAAACCGCAGAAAGAAGGAATACCAGGGTTCTTGAACATAAAGGTTTTTAAAGTGTTAAGTGCTTGGAACTTTTACTATAATGAGAGGAAGGATAGAAATAACCATGTAGGCTCAAGAGTTCCTGGAAAAAGTTGTTCTAGCTAGCTATAACCCACTTTATTCAGGCCCCTCCCCCAAAGACACACCTCAGAATACAGGAGAAGGCCTGGAGCAAACAACCACAAAAACCCTACAGCATTTTTGAGCCGTTGTCTGAACCTTTCCTGCCATAAATCCTAACATAACACATCTATGTGACAGCCATGGAGCCTCCAGGCTTCTGACCAGCTCCTCGTAGTGTGTGGGAAAGGTTACTCAGGCCTAGTCCACACGTAGCCGGGTTTTTAAAAAAACGAATGTCCGCCCCTCCAGAAACTTGCATCCACACCACCTCGTTTACAAAAATACTCTGTCCACACGTACCCGGATAAATACGTTGTTAAGGACATGCCAGACCTGTAGGCGGCAGTACTTCCCCGTTCTTAACCTCGTCCTTCGTCTGTGGTCTTCCGCAAGGAGCAGTAATTCCGCTTGCAAAAACAAACAAGCAAAAAGCGCTTGGACAATTGATAAAGCGAGCGCAGCTCTGAGGGCATCCATGCTGTCGGCTAGTGTAAACACAGGTCGCACACGTGATGTCAGCATTTTTCTGTCGCGGAAAGTGACGTTGCGGACCTTAAAACTCCAGTTTTGTCCGTCCACACGCAGACACCCAACACGGAGAAAACGCATCTTCACTTTGGACGGAGTTTTTAAAAAGATCCGTTTTCGTGTGGAAAAACAGTTTTCGTGTGGATGACAGGCCAAAACGTAGAAAAATATCTACGTTTTGGCAGATCCCCGGCTACGTGTGGACAGGGCCTTAGTGTGCCTTTAAATATAGAAGTTCTTGTTAGGCTCCGTGTGTGCTTAGAAGGCATGAAGGTATAAAGACGGAGACGTTCTGGGGATGAGGTAGATGGATGGTTTGAAGCAGGAAAGTCCCTCACCAACCCCAGGTTCCACCTCTGCAGCTGTAAAACGAATCCCCAGAAACACGGAGAAACTTAAATCTCCGAGGTTTTTTATCCCAACAACGATGCGCTACTGCATCTGGACCAAACATCCATGTTTGGCTGAAATAAGCTTTCAAATGGGCCGTTAGTGTTGATGTGTGTGTACACCTGCAGGTGAAGGTACCATGAAGCTCCACTGCTGCGTTGCTGCCTACGTCTCAGACTTTGCTCTGCTTGGCACCGTCCTGCTGCCGTACTCTGAATACAAGGCCTACTTCACCGCCTCTCTGGACCACGCCATGTGGTTCCACAGCACTTTCCGAAGTGATGAGTGGATGCTGTATGAATGTGAGAGTCCATGGGCAGGTCAGCACGTTTTTTATTGTTTTTTTTTCTCAGACACTTTCAATATTCTCTAAGACTTGCCGCTGACTGCTCTCAGTCCCAGGGTTTGATTTGTTTTCCTCTGTTTCCTGAGTAAAAACACTAGAGCAGACCAAAACTGCCAAGGTCATCGTCCTTGTGGACCACAAAAATGTCAGTCGTAGAAACGAGCCATTAACAAGCACGTTCGCATGCACAGACACACTGCAGGAGGTAGCGGGTTGTCCGGTAATCTGAGGGTTGCAGGTTCGATCCTTAACCTGCCTCACCTGATGGTGGTGGTCTGAGGAAACGATGGCGCCAGTGTTCGGCAGTAGGTGGGTTCAGGTTGCTGCATTGTAGCTCATCCCCACCAGCGTGTGAATGGGCACCTTGGGGGGTTGTAGAACCCTAAGAAGGCGCTATACAAACACAGGTCGTTTACCTGAACTGGGCTATGTTCTCTGAAAGGCTCGGTAGAGTCGCTGATTGGGACTTGTGTTTAACACGTGCTGATTGGCTGTAACTCAGTAGGAAGTTGCATCAGAAAACGTCGCCAAAAACCCGCATTTGGAAAATTGGAAGAGTAGCTGGTGAAGAAGAGTGAAAAGAAAACATAAGAGCAACGTTCCCCTTTGTTTAAAATGGCCGTTTCTAAACCCCCAATGTCTAAAACGTGGTGGAACTCCCCCACAGTACTATGATTACTAGGGCTGCACCGATACCAATATCTTTATCGGTATCAGCAAAAGTTAGCCAATACCAGTGCAGTTGCCTGAAATTAGCTTCACTGTAACTTGTCATTTCTGTTCACCTAAAATTTTAGTTTTGTGATCATTTTAATTCATATATTTTATTTTTATCTTCCTCACAGACTTTTCCTGTTGAAAGCAGAGAATAAAGTAAAACCTGTATTCCAGTTCATGGCATTTTTGTATGGTAGAAGTATCAGTAATCAGTATCGGCGAGTACTCAGATCCAAGTATCAGTATCGTATCGGATAAAAAGTGTTATCGGTGCATCCTTGGTAATTACCAGCGCTTTGCTGGAGAACCATAAAAAAGATGCTTTTTCTGATCATGAGATGCTGCGTTTTGCATCACACAGCACTTCTGCCAGTCCCCTGAACAGACTAAATGACTGCGTACTTTGACAAATAAAACCTCTAATGTCATTAATGTCCTTGGATACTTTTTGGCGCTGATCTGTGACATCACTCACTGCTGAAGTAGTCACAATATGCTTACTTCTGTGCAAAGTCCTGAAAGTGCTGCATTTGTGTGGAGACGCACCGGCAGGGAGGACCGAGCCATCCTCTCTCCTGGTCCCTTTTCCCACCCAGAAATATTTCCTCAGCTCCTATGGTGGGAACGTAGCTGTGGACGCATTTAATTATTACACATTTTTTCTCTCAACGAAACAAAACTCATGTTTGTTTAACACAGTATCACACAACATGTGATAAAAGTAGAAGTCGAGTGCACGGTGATGGATTTGAACTTGAAAGACCTTTTCTTTGTTCTGTGTCTACAGGGAGCAGTAGAGGCCTGGCACAAGGCCGGCTGTGGAGGAGAGATGGAGTCCTGGCTGCTACGTGTTCCCAGGAGGGGGTCCTGAGAGTCAAACCCGTCACACACACCAGCAAACTTTAGCAACACCAGTTATACCGATTATTATTATAACCGCCATCTTTCATTCTGCCAATAACATTTGACAAGATTAACAAGACTATTTAATAATGTCATGATCTGTATGTCTTAATGAAAGACTTATAGTCTCACATGTGAAATTATTAATGATCTCAGTTCCTGATTATGCTGGAAAGACTAACCAGTAGGGATGTAAGAAAATATCGATATGGCAATATATTGTGATATTTTTTCCAGCAATATTATATTGATATTCAAAAGCTGTGTATCGGAAATATCGATATGGCAATATATTGTGATATTTTTTCCAGCAATATTATATTGATATTCAAAAGCTGTGTATCGGAAATATCTATATGGCAATATATTGTGATATTTTTTCCAGCAATATTATATTGATATTCAAAAGCTGTGTATCGGAAATATCGATATGGCAATATATTGTGATATTTTTTCCTGTGATTATTACATCGATATTCAAAAGCTGTGTATCTAAATCTTGAAAGAATTTACATGCAAACATTTGTGTATTTTTTTTTTCATTTTGTGCAATTCAATCGCCACCCGCTAGTTGGCAGCAGTGTGCAATGGGTTTTGTTTCCACCATTGAAATGTAAATCCCTCCATCATGGTTCAGATACCTCATGTTAAACATGTTACGTATCAGTTTGGACTGTTTATTGAACATTCTTTCAATAAATTCAGTAAAAAAAATTGTAACGTCTGACTGAATGTATCGCAATATATCGTGATATATCGTATCATCTCCCCTGTATCGTGATATGTATCGTATCGACAGAATTTCAAAAATGCACATCCCTGCTATTTGGCCATGGCTACAGATGGGTTTGTCACATGGCCAGTGTTGACTCTGCTAATTGGATGTTATTAAATGTAAAATGGAATGAAAATCTATTTATACAAATGTTTGCATTTGGCAAAAACAAGTTCTATAACTACATTTTTATTTGTAGAGAATATTTTTAAAATGTTTAGGTTTCACTGGCTTAAATCCCTATATTATAACAACCTGCCCTCACAGCCCTCCATTGTTTTGTTTTTGTTAGTATTAAGTAATAATTAAGTTAACCTTTATTCCACTTTCATGGCTAAAACAGTTTTTCTACCAAAGAATTGGATATTTTTTTAAACTTTGTTTACTGAAAAACTCATTTTTGCTGTTTACAAATGTTTACTTTCTAAAATCCACCAGCAGAGAAAAGTAACCTAATTTACATGTTACTGCCCTCTCAGCATTCCATTGGAATGGCTTGTTGTAACAACCCTGAAAATCAACCAGTTACTGTGACTGATGTTCCAGCCAGTTCTCGGGTCATCACATGTTCCACGACCATCTTCCAATCAGCTTAATCTGCCTCTGTTCTTGTTCTTATTTTATCCCATGTTTTTTACCACCAGATTTATTTCTAGTTGCTCTTTGCTGTTTGGCTACTTCGTCTAATTTATTTGTCAACCACTCACTCTTTAGTTCGCTTGCTGCAGGCAAGAAAAGTTTTAAATCCTGTGCTTGTTATTATAGTTGTAATTTTGGTTTATAAAAGGCAATAGTATATATCTGCCCTCAAACAATGCCGCATGGTAGCTTATGTACTGTAGTTTATTCGGTCTGTTCAAGTAAAGTCAAACAAACTAACTGGACTTTTTTTTTCATCGGGCCACACAAATGGAGGCCCATTTTTCTGGGGAGGACTAAGTCAATCTGCCCTTTCATCTCTTTCATCCAAGCTACAGGGAGATGTGCAATGTATGGAAAACAATCTGAACATGTTGGCTCCCAGCAGAGGGTCATATGGGCAAAATCCGCAAAACATAGGTGCCGCCTGCACCCTTTCTGTTTTCTTTCTTTTGCTCACAATTTTTGCTTTTTATATATATATATATATATATATAATTTTTGATCATTTATTTTTATTTTTTTGAAGCGCCTTGTGATTTTTATTTTGAGAGGTGCTATAAAAATGTTTTGCTTAAATTGTGCATGAAAATGTCAAACCTTTATGTGATAAAAAGCAGAAAAGTCTGTTTATTGTCCATCCTTTGTGAAATTACATCTGATCCTGCTGCCTACTACTAAACATATGCAGTAGAGCTTATTTTTTAAATGAAATCAAGACACCGCTGTCTTATATTACTTGTTTTTAAGGTTTTTATACATTTGTTTTGCCATTCTGGTTGTTTTTGCTGTTAATCTGCCGTTAGTTTTAAAATATAATTTCCTGTGGTATCTACATAATGAATAAAGGTGACAAAGTAAGTTTACCTGAAAACGTCTCTGCAACATGTCACAAACATTTAGTTGGTATGTTGTCACAATATCGCAGTAAAGTTGTGGATATGTCGCGACAACCTTCCAGCAACGCGCTATGTGACGTTCTGACAACGTCGTAGCGGAACTTCACTTTGGAAGTCGCTACTACGTAACATACGATGTTCCTGCAACATCACAAGGTGTCAGAAAATACGTTGCGACTACGTTGTTGCAACAGACCTGTGTTAGTAGGGAGCTACCCCAATAAAGTCTACCCTATTGGATTGGGGTAGGGACCTTATTGGGGTAGCTCCCCAGTAGGGAGCTACCCCAATAAGTAAAGTAAGTGACTCATTAACTCAGGAAAACCTTTCCCTAGTCTCCACTTCCAACATGTAAATGGGAAGACTTATCTCTTGTCACTAAAAGTGTTCTATACCAGTGTTTCCCAACCCATGTCTGATTCAGCACACCTGATTTACACTGCCTCCTCAGGAGGACATCAAGTGCTGCAGATGCCTGTTGATCTCTCATTCATTAAAGTCAGGTGCTGGAAGCAGGTAAACGCTGGTGTTTAAAAGGGAAACATGGAAAACATGCAGGACAGTGTGCCTTGAGGGCCAGGGTTGGGATACACTGTTCTATACCATGTACATAAAATAGACTCATTACATGCATCCTCTCCTCTGCTCTCCTCCCGCTTCACCTCCAGCCTTTAGAGTGTGAAACTGGTCAAGTTCGCAGATGACTTGACCCTCATTGACCAAAAACAAATAAATGAATGAATATATAAAGGAAGGAAGGAAAAATCAACGAGGACTCTTATTTTGACATGCAGTTTGCCACTTGGTTGCTGGGGCTCTAGCGCCCTTAGCAACCACAATTTTTCCCCCACAATGCATCCCTTCTAGAAGTGTATCGAGCTAATTTGTTGTTAAAATTTAACATTAAACGGGGACATAACATTTAATTCAAGGCAAGTGTTGCCCCTTGTTTGCATAATTTGTGTATTGAGTCAAACGTAGAACGAATTATATGACGTTATTAAGTAAAACACCACATAATACGCCCGACGGCTAATGTTAGCTTCGGAGATTCAAGCTAAACGCTAACAACCACAACAACACGGCTTCGGTTCACGTCGTTCTTCATTTGTGTTTCACGGTGTTATAAAGTCTGAAGAACAACACGGCTGTGCTTTCATTCCCAAAGATAAGAGGCAAACCCGCGTCTGAGGGTTTAAAAGGGGGGTTTTCAGGTGGCTGGATGAGGCCGGAGGTGACGTGTAAACAATGGAGATAGAAAAGAGTAACGCCATAATCTTCAACGCTTCAAAAAACGAGCTTTTTACCGCAATCAATGGATTCAAGTCTTTGCAAAAGAAACTCCGAGCTCAGTGGAAAATACAAAGGTAAGCTGAACAAACCTGCCTGTGATTTAAACGTCTGACCAGGGTGCCAGTACGTACACACTTCTGTATGTGGACCAAAACAGAAGCTGTCATGAAATAAAACAAGTATTCAAGCAAAGTACAATAGGAAATGTGCTGAGTTGCATGCATCTGATTTCTACTTCAGCATGAAGGAAAAGGTCAGTATGGAGAAGTTGAAGGGAGCCCCGTTGTGGATTTCTGCAGGCCCGAGGGAGAAGTTCACTGCATCAGAGGTGATTTGTTTACACTAATCTGGCTGCTTTATTTTAATGGAAATTTGCACATTTGCATGAGAAACACTTGCATCAGTCTGAGAAGAGCTGCTTTGCTCTGTCTGATCCCATTTCTTCCAGTTAGAGATGCTGAAGCAATACCTGGATGGAGGGGGGAATATCTTGGTCATGCTGGGCGAGGGGGGAGAGATGAAATACAACACAAACATCAATTTCCTCCTGGAGGAGTTTGGAATAATGGTCAACAATGGTGCGTGTTGATCTTACCAGACGTCAGAACTTCTGTTAAGGTTGTTTTTCGTAAAACGGTGAATGTTCTCTTCGCTACACCAGATGCAGTTGTGAGGAATGTTTATTACAAATACTTCCATCCAAAGGAGGCTTTTGTTTCTGATGGCGTGTTGAACAGGTTTGAAATTTTCTCAGAATTCTAAAACTTTACAAAGTCCTGTCTTTTACAAAGAAATAAAATATGCTGGCGTTTCAGGCTGATTCAAATGAGAGGTTTTCTTCCTCTTACTCAGAGCGATCAGTCAAGCTGCCAGCAAAGTGACCTCAGGACTTATCGAGGATGAAAATATCGGAAACAAGTCTCAGTAAATGACTTCCTTTAATGTTGTCTTTTTACACACCATGTTTCCTGTTTTTGTTTGGGTGAAACGAGTTGTTCTGTGTGTTTTTGTACAGAAATCTCTCATTTGTGTACCCATATGGAGCCACGCTGAGTGTGATGAAGCCTGCTGTGGCTGTTCTTTCTACCGGTTTCATCAGCTTCCCGCTCAACAGGCCTATCCTGGCCTTCTATCAGGGAAAAGTGAGTTTTAAAAATGTTTTTATTGGCCAGTAACATCTGTAAAATGATACTGAAAGATATATGTTTTCTCATGAAGGAGGCTGGCAAGCTGGCTGTTTTGGGTTCCTGCCACATGTTCAGTGATCAGTATATAGACAAGGAAGGAAATAGTAAAATCATGGTGAGTTCAAGAGTTTTTTTTTTCTTTCAAATGGAAAACCATCCCAGCCTGTTTGTTTTTTTATGGGATTTTGTTTTCCCTCTTTTCCTCCCAGGATGTTGTGCTTCAGTGGCTCATGACTGATACTATTCAGCTGAATCAGATCGATGCAGAAGATCCAGAGGTACGTAGAACACAACGGGCCCGGGAAACAGGACCACCGGTGGTTTGATGCACACCTCTGTGATCTCCCAGGTTGCAGACTACACCATGCTGCCAAACACAGGGTGCTTGTCAGGACAGCTCAGTGCATGTTTACAAGAAAGCGACGAGAACCCCAGAGACTCCACCTCCTTCATTAAGTCTGTGTTAGATTTATCAACTGAGACATTACAGCAAGTCATAAGGTGGGAAAGCGGGACTCATCCAGCACATGTTTGATGCTTTCCTTGCAGCTAAACCACTTTCCCTTGCTCTTGGCAGTGCTTATGAGCAGCTGAATGTGAAGCACGAGCCACTCCAGCTCATCACACCACAGTTCGAGACTCCTTTGCCTCCGCTTGAACCGGCTGTAAGTTTTTACGTCCAAAAACCACATAAGGCCCTGTAGAACAGGTGGCTATAGAGCCGCACATTAGCCAAGCTCCTATTCAGCTGTGCCTCCTCAGGCTAACAGATTCACTGAGGTGCCACCTGTAAATGGTCAGTGAGACTATGTGACAGTATTGAAGAATAAAACGCGTAGAAATCTCAGTCCACCCACAGTCTAGTCAGACAAAACCCGCAGAGGCACCCTTTGCTCGTCGCTATGTCCAAAAGCACTGCCGGCCTTGCAGACGTCTAAAAGGGATATTAAGGTATTTTTATTTTCATGTAAAATTGAATAAAAGTTTGCAGCTGAAGTCCTGAACACTCAGCAGCTGGTCAGAGCACAGCCAACACCAACGTGTTTTCAAAATAAAAGCACACCAATATGTTTCACAGCCAAACACCTGATCATTCATTGACATTGCCGGTGTCGGTACAGGATCGGCTCGGGTCCCTTCGACTGCCGATGACGTCACATTACTGCAAATCTACTCGGCTTTCACACACGTTTTGGAAAGACATCAGCAGTTTTAATAAATTCTTGTTTGTTAACACTTAAATGTTTTCTTTAGAATTGTAATTTGTTAATAAAACACCAGATTATCTTTGTTTTGTAAAGAATGTGAAACTGCATAAAACCAGCATCGGACTGACAAACATTCGAACAGTTCTTACATGTGAAGCCATATCGGTTTGTATAAATGTGGAGTTTGTCTGTATATTTCCTTAGTTATCTAAATACACTCTTTGACTCTAAATATTGCTTGGTGTCTTTCAAAAAAGTTCTTATATTTTATTTTGCCCCATTTCATCAACATCAAGAGCTTTTGAGGGTCACGTTTATCATTTGCTTATATTTTACATTTCATTTAGAAATTCAAACATTTTCTCCAAAAACTGTTGATTTTTGCACTACTGGACTACAACCGCAAATTTGTTCTGACCAATCACAATCATAACGTGATAACGTAACTTCCGTAAGCTTCATGTTCAGCCAATCAACCACGTTGACGTCATCGGCAGTCGAAGGACCCCGAGCCGATCCTGCACTGACGCCATCAGGCGAACAGAGAGCGTGCCAGTTATTAAAACAGATGACGTCTGAAGCGGTCCTGGATGTGCTGCAAACACCGATTTGTTTTGTCATTTGACCAAAATGTCAAGTAGACGAACTCCAGGCCCATCTGAAGTGCAGCCTTTAGAAATTACTTTTTCATTTCAGGACTCCATAAGTTGCATCTGAGCTGACAAATTTTCTCAGACGACTCAAACCTTGCTCCTCATTTTTAGGTCAGAATAAACGTTGGACCAACCCGTAGCTCATCGGTTCTGTTGGATGTTAACACTCTTTGTGAACAGGAGCTTTTACCACATGATCAGTGAGATTACGGGATTAGGCTGCTGTACAAGAATTAATTCCAAAATGGGGCCGAAAAATGTCTTAATGCCTTTACGTTTTAGGTTTTCCCTCCTGCCCTGAACGACTTGCCTCCTCCTATGCTGGACTTGTTTGATCTAGATGAAACCTTCTCATCAGAGAAGGCCCGACTCGCACAACTCACCAACAATTGTAAGACCTTTCACCAGCTTCCTCAGCTGGAAGCAGGACGATACCATTGCTAACTCCCCTCCCCCCCTCCCCACAGGCACAGACGACGACCTGGAGTTCTACATTCGCAGATGTGGTGAAATTCTGGGTGTGACTCCCAAACTAGATAAAGAGCAGCGGGATGCCAAGTACATACTAGAACATATCTTCTTTCAGGTTGTAGAGTTTAAGAAACTCAACCAGGTGGGTGTGGCCTGTCAGTCTGGTGCGATGGTGCTTCGAGTCTGGTTCAAGTTTAACTTCTCACCTTCAGGAACACGACATGGAGACAGAGGAACGGGTGACAACATGACCTGGTCTACGGTCCGAACACGAGCGGGATGTGGTCCTAGCAAGCTGCCGTCAACGTTCAGAAGACTTGGGAGTGAAAGCATCTGCAAATCAACGTTTTCTATCTTTATTGTAGTAAATTATTAATTAAAAGACCCTCATTAGAATAGTTTTTAGGTGCATGACTCAAACATAATCCATCCACTTCATCTTAAAGGATGCAACAGTAGATCATTCTGATGCCCCATCAGGGTGAAACCTCAGCCAGGGACTGGTTCTGGGGTTTGGGACTCCACGTCTGCTGCTGAACGCTGGAATCCACGAAGCACCGGGGGCTGTTGCTCTCCGCTTTAATCACGGACACGTCCCAAGAGATCTGCAAGGACGTGAGGTCTCCATTAGACCGGTCAAAAAACCCAGCGGGTTTAGAATTCGGCACGGTCACGATGGGCGTGGAAAATTTCCCCTGCATGGGCACGGTCAGGGTGCAGCCATCAGCCTCTTGTGTGTTGGAGCCGGAGCCCAGAAACGAAAACCCCCGACAAGGAGAAAGGAGATCCGTTGACAGACAGAGGGAAGCCAGGATAGATACTCTGCCCTCAGATCTGTCCGCTACAGCTTCATTTGATGCTCTGGAGAGGGACAGGTACTCCAAAGACAAAGCAGACAGCAAACCCTGTTCTCCAAAGAACTTCCTGTCCAGCTCTGATGGAGATGAGCACTCAAAGCTTTTCAGATCTAGAAAGATAAGTAGTTAAGAATGTGAGCTTCTCATCAAAGGTAGCAACAAAATCACCAGCATGCTTACCTTTAAAAACAAAAGCTTTGTCCATGGTGTCCATTGGTCTTCAAACACCTGGCCAGCAGCAGGTGGCTTTAAATGGTTGAAACTGCTTGTTAATTGGCCCAGCTGGAGGCTGCTCATCAGTCGGGATCAGAGGAAACGTTTTCTGTTTGGGCCGATGTGTGTTTGCAGTTCTGTTTTAAAAAATACTGTTTCATTTATAAAATGATTAGATTGGCTTTTAAATCTTTATTGAAAAGAAAACAAGACAAATTTACAGCACATGATCATAGTAATCTGCAACTTGGGGCCACAAGAGGCTCTTTGTGTCTCATATCTTGGTGATTAATTATATTTATTTTCAAAGTTTCATAATAAAGGTCTTTGTTTGGTTTCTGTCCAGTTTTATGCAAGTTTATATACATCTATAACAATTTGATACTAATGACACCTCCGTCGATTGGTTCCATAGCTTATTGTCCCTGATCTTTTACTCAAATTCACCACAAAGTAAATATATTTAAATAAAGTTATGGCGAGTATTTAGGACTCATTTAATTAAACATGACACATTGATAAAAGGGTTATCTGGCAAGTTAGAGAAAGAAATAGAGGTATAGCATATGTTAGATTTCATAGTGGAATAGTTTAGTGTTTATATTCTACCACAATATTGTTTTTACACTTACAGAGGGAGTGCCTTTTAATTTGACCTCCAGAGGAAAATCACATATTTGGCTAAATATATTGATTACAAGCCAATTACATTAAGTGGATAAAATAAATAAATATACTAGGATTAATCAGAAGAAAGGACAATTGAAGAAACGTGTTTCTTGTTTTTGAGTTAAGAAGTTTCGAGAGAAATTGTGAAATTTCTAGAATAAACAAAAGCTTGCTACGCTCCTCGTTCTTTTATTTTGAAAGTCTGGTGGGAAGTTTGACATCTTCCTGCGCCTGTCTGGTTCGACCGCGCAAATCTGGTGCGCATCTACGTCACTGCTCTGGTCGAACGAGAGTGAAGGGCGCGAGATAGAAATAAGAAGCGCGGTCGGAATGGGCGCTCAGCGGCTGCTGCTGTCGGTACACAGAACCTCCAGCGCCGGCCCCTCAGAACCACACCGGGACAACGGTCCACTCCAACGTAAACACCTCTGTGCGCGCGCGGCGGAAGGAGGGAATATCGCCGTGTGACAAAGTAAACAAGTGAAGCAGAGAAATGTCTTCGTGGTCGCGCGGGTAAGAGATCGATCGTTGTTGCCGGATGTTGTTTTTGACAGTAGCAGAACTTGTTAATCTACTGATGTCTGGACGTTACTGCCTAGCTTAGATGCATTTGCAGCTGCAGTTAGCGGAAGGGAAACACGTTAGGAGGAGTTTTATTGTTGGAATTGTGACTCACGACTGCCGCCCTTTTCCGGGCTGTAATCACGAACAACAAGTCTGAGCAAATGAATCCTTGTCCTGCCCTCAGCAGTACTGTTGGTTGTAGCTAGTGAATTATAAATAATATAACCATGAAAACGCGCAAGTCCGCTCGTTTAGCCTCCCCCCGCCTGTATGGCCTTAGGGCGGGCACTGGCTAACTCCTGGTGTCTTCATTAATCAGCTGTGCACATGTATTTCTCAGCGAGGATGCAGACGAGGCCATGCATCAGGACACTGATTCTGATGTGGCCGAGCCCAGGGATGGAGGGAAGGTGAAGGTGAAGTGGACTCAGGAGGAGGTGAGTGTGCTGACTTGTCCCAGATCACGTCGTTGTGGGTCAGCAGACCTGAACACACTGGGTTGTCTTTACAGGATGAGAAGCTTAAAGTGCTGGTTCTAAAACTGGGTCAGAATGATTGGAAACGTGTTGCCAGCTGCATCCCAGTGAGTCCCGCTGTTCTGGTCTTTAGTGTTACCGTCTTCGAGTCACTCCTTTAGCTCGTTCGTGCCTCTCTTTGCATTCTTCAGACTCACACCGAGCACCAGTGTCAGCACCGCTGGTTGAAGGTCTTGGATCCAGAACTGGTCAAAGGTCCTTGGACCAAAGAGGAGGATGAGAAGGTGGGCTGCGTTTCGTGTTGTGGATCAAGTGTAGAATATTTCTTGAGATTGTCAAAAAGATGCAACTGAATTGTTTGTTTTTCTTCCAGGTCATAGAGCTTGTTAATCTCTACGGTAACAAACAGTGGGCGATGGTAGCCAAGCACCTGAAGGGCAGACTGGGAAAGCAGTGTAGGGAGCGCTGGCACAACCACCTCAACCCCAACGTGAAGAAGTCATCGTGGACTGCTGAGGAGGACCTGATCATCTACAAGGCCCACTGTCTGCTTGGAAACCGCTGGGCCGAGATCGCCAAGCTGCTTCCTGGAAGGTCGGAAAATGTTGCTTCCTGTTTTCTAAACAAGTGGGAGGATGCACTGATTTGTGGTTGAAGCTGAATCTTCTGCTGAAAGGTCTTGTACGTCGTTTAACAGGACGGATAATGCTGTGAAGAATCACTGGAACTCCACTATAAAACGAAAGCTGGAGATGGGCTTCTACGCCAGCGAGGTTTTCAGAGCAAACGAGCTGGAGGAGCTGCTGGCGCGCGTTAGTAAAGACGTGCTGGTGGGTCGTCTCCCTCCACCAAGCCTCCTACATCAGCAGCAGTCTCACGTGTTTCTGATTCGAACATCTTGTCTGTGGTGAACCAACAGGTCGCTGGATGCTCTCAGGATGGTTCGGACAAAGAAACGGATTCAAAAGTCCGACTTTTAGTAAGAAATCATCGCATCTATTAAAAACTATGAGCTTAAATGTTGCATCAGCCATCAGTCCTTATGTTTTTACAGAAGTCACAGGAACCATCGGCTCCTGCTAAGAATTCCCACGAAGCAGAGTCGTCCAGGGCTGTCTCCTCTCTAAAGGACGTGTCAAGCCCCAAGACCGATGTGGACTCCACAGGAGAGACGAACAGTTCCAACTGGGTGGTGGACAGCTCTGGTTTCCTCTACCCTACAGGCCCTGTGCTGAAGGAAGTGCTGGACATGGTAGACGGGGTAAATACCCATAATTCACCAGAAAAATAACAAACGCATCTCTGAAACTAACTAAAGTTTAATCGTATTTGATTATAAGAAATGAGAAGCAACTCGTTGCTCCGGTTTAGTTAAATAACCAGTTGCAGCAGAAAGATGATCACCGGTGCAGCAGTTAAATCCAGGTGGTGCCTTTTTCTGTCCGTGTTGTTTTAGTCGACTCTTTGTAAAATCTACCGGATACCAGACTTGTAAATAAAACGATATCTCCTGTTGGTGGAGGACTTGGACGGCTGGTGCAACCTGGCAGCCTTCGACTTGCCCGAGGACAGCCCCAGCCCCGAGCGCCACCAGTTCCGTCTGGAGGGCAGCGCCTTGCAGGAGCTGAGCAAGTGCAGCAAGGGAGAACTCATCCCCATCTCCCCCGGAGGAATCACCCCTCCCTCCATTCTGTCCCGCCGCAGCCGGAGACGCATCGCCCTGTCTCCAGACGTCAATCGGTCCATGACTCCAAAGAGCACCCCTGTCAAAATCCTGCCCTTTTCTCCGTCACAGGTGAGGAAAAGCTCCATGCTGACGGCACCGACGCTGGTTACACGTCTCCGTCATCCGGGTCATGGTAGTCTGATGAAGGCAACTGAACTTCTTTGGTTCTTCGCCTAAAAGAGGCTTAATGGCAGCAGGACAGAAATAAATGCACCGATATGACATTTTTGGGCCGATATCCAAATACTGACATCAGTGCTTCTAAAATCAGCAGGTTTTGCATAGAATGAACATATTAAAGCTGAAGAGATGATTACAATCACGGTCACATGACTAAACGAATACACCCCACCCTCTTAAACATAAAGAAGATGGGGGGAAAATATGGGTTGTTCATATCGGCCCAGTTTTATTTATGGGGCCGATGCTGATGTACAGAAAATGTGTGTGTATTTATTCTACTGCCCAGCTAAAGCCTCACACACATAATTACTGACCTATTAGCATGAAGCTGGTTATTACAAAGATGTCAGAAGTGATGTTTGTCCCAAAGCCGTGATAACTGGTTAATCGTTTTATTGTAAGATTGGAGTTTGCTGCCTTTATAAATAAAATGGCCGTTTAATCTCCTCTTTTACTAAACGTCGTTTTTTATAGAGGCACAAAATCTGCCGACCTGACTTGTTGTTTTCAGTTCCTGAACATGTGGACCAAGCAGGACACGCACGACCTGGAGAACCCGTCCCTCACGTCCACCCCCGTGTGCAGCCAGAAGGTCGTCGTCACCACGCCGCTGCAGCGGGACAAAACGCCGCTCACGCAGAAGGAAAAATCCATGTGAGTGAAAAAGAAGAGAGGACAGATGTTTTCTGTAGCGCGGCGCCTCGCCAGATAAAAAATCGTCTCAATTAAAATAAAAAAGATTTTTAAAAGTGATTGAAAAATCACAAAAATGAGAAAAATAAAAAATGTAAGGAAAGAAATGAGGAAATGAATAAGAGCTAATCAGTGGAAACCGGGAAAGGTGGAACGGGTGGAACAAGGAGAGGGTGATGAAGGTCCGACCAAAGCCTGAACAGGTGAGTCTTCAGCTGCTTTTTAAAGGAGACCGCTGAGTCCACTGATCTCAGACTCAGGGGGAGAGAGTTCCAGAGTCTGGGGGCCACAGCAGCAAATGATCTGTCACCTTTGACCTTTAGCCTGGTGCTGCACAACCAGTAGGCTTTGATCACTGGACCTCAGGGACCTGCTGGAGGTGTAGGGACTAAGAAGATCACCAATGTATGATGGTGCTTGTCCATGTGAGGCCCTGCTGCTTTGCTGTGGAACAGATCAGTGTTTTTATTTTCACTCATGACCTTATTTTTGTGTGTATTTTAGGTTTGTTACTCCGAACCACAAGTCTGGGATCTGCACAACGCCACGAACCCCAACACCGTTCAAGAATGCCATGGAGAAGTACGGCGCTCTGCATCCTCTGGTGAGTCTCGCCCCGGTCTCCTCACAGCCGCTGGTAGGTGTTTGGTTTACTTCTGTGTTTGATTTCTGCTATTTCCTGTTTGGTCTCCTCAGCCCCAGACTCCAAACCTTGAAGACGATATTAACGAAGTCATCCTCAGAGATGCGGGGATAAATGTGGTCGTCATGCGTTCCACTCCACCGGAGCAACGGCGCAAAACAGCGGTAACGAGAGCTTTTTTCCAGTCAGGCGTGAAGCAGCGTGCTTTATAAGAGAGGAAGTAAAACCGAACAATTACAGGCAGCAAGGAGTTAGGAGCACCAAGAAAGCTGTAGCTCCTCCCACTCTAACGGGAAAGAGCAGATTCAGAGAGGTAGTAAAATCATGGAAGAAACGACTTTATGATGTTTTATTTGTGTGACATTCTGTATTGGGTTTGTTTACCTCAATACACCTGCAAACATTACATCCATTAAAAAAAACAAGGCCACCTCCTGGCGTCACGTGGTCAGAGAGACGTAACCCGATTGACTAAAAGCCACGCGGCTCAACGAGGTGACGAGTGCTTTGGTCACTAGGAGGTCAGGCCACCTGCCATGCTGAATATCAGCTGCTGGATTTGTACGGGTGAAGTTGACAGCGGTGTATTTTAATTAAAACATTCAAATACATAATTTCACAGAGTAATCAGCATGTCGTGAATTCAGCATCTAAAACACGTCGTTTTCTGTTGAGACGGGTTTGTTCCATATGAAATGATGTCGGTAATCTGAAAAATAAAATGCTGCCAAATAAAACTAATCTGTAATTAAAATATCCAGAATAAAATATTATCGTCAACGAAATTATATTCCTGATCTAACAACTGAAAAGTAGAAGATAAAAAATAACACGATCTCTGTACGTATACAGTAGGAGCAAATGTACTAATGGTTCTGTACCTGTGCTGGAAATGTTCCTGATTCTAAGAAAACCTCGGTCCATGCCTTTGACATAAATATACGTGGACATCTCCTTTCCATAGGCTCCAATATCACGCTTTTGTGCCAAAATGGGAGGTGGCCACCACCGCCATTTTGACCGTGTCACAGGTTCCGTCAAGCCCAGACAATTCCATAAAAGGGAAGAGAGGTGGAGCTGAGGGTGGGGCTGTAAGACTGGGATCAACTGACGACACCCGGTCGAACTAGCTACAAGCTAACCCAAAGCTAATGCGGAGGTGGGAGCTAAGCTAACGGAGGCAGCAACCTAGCTACAACCGGAGTTAACTGTGCACAACACCAGAGCTTCTGAGTCAGAGATACGCCGGACTGACCGCTGGGTAAAACCGGGTGGAACACAGAGGTCTCCCAAAAGCTGCCGAAAGCCGGCAGTCCGCGCAGCAGACAGAGATGCGCCGAGCTGCAGGGAGGGGAGAACGGGTGGAAAACATCGGTCTCCCGAGAGCTCCAAAAGCCGATAGTTGGAACCCAGCTCCACCAACATGTTATATTTCAACCCATTTTCTAAAGTGCAGCATTATGTTAAATGCACTGGGCTTTACCCTATTACATTTAAATTTCATGGTTAAACAGTACATGTTAAAATCTAAGCTCAGCTCGGCAGTGACCTAAAATACATAAATATAATTTTACTTACCGAAAAAAAATGAAGTGAAGACTCCTTGGACGCTCTATTAGTGCAATTAATGCCACAGCAAGTCATTTTGTCCAACAATTGTACAAATAATATCCAAAACAGAATACACAAACACAGAGACTCAAAATCCTGGAGCAGTTTCCAGGCCAGACCGAGGCTCTACTGAGGCCTTTCCATGGAGCTAGCTCTGTGGTCACGTGGGTCTGATGCTCATTAATTATACAGAATTTTAGGCTTTTAATACACTTAAACAGAAGAGTGAGGAAAAAATTCACCCCCCTCAGAGTTGTCATGAGTGTAAACTGGATCATTTAAACCAAAAACATGTTTTGGTACCAGGCTGTAAACATGTTTATTTCTGCTGTGAAATTGGTATTTTTAACATGGGAGTCAATGAGGATTTGCTCGCTTCTGACACCAGCCCCCAGTGGATGAGGGTGGAACTGCAATTTTTGGTACTTCCGGCTTGGGCTCAATTTTAGAGCAGCATTGTGGGGGCTTGGTCCATGCGTATGAGCAGCATCTAGTGGTAGAACGGGAGAACTCCACACATGTTCCTCATCTCTGAATTATTTCACCCAATAAACAATTCTAGCGGTGGAAAATCAGTTTTTTTCGCGCCCGACTGGCGCCAAAACCTGTAAGAGACACCTTTGACTGACAGGAGCATGGCTGATCTGTGTTATCTGAGGATTTGGCAGAATGTGCACTCCGGCGCGTCCTCCATGAGCGCACGGATCTCCCCGAAAGGGATCCTTCTGGAGCTGTCGTGGTTACAGACCACACACATCCGACTCGAGTACATTCAGTTGTTTACAACTAAGAGAAGAACCCGTCCAGAACCTCCTCTGCTGCCCCGTCATACGCAGCGTGTCGTCGTGGTAACCAGACTGAGTGGCAGCTCAGAGGAGGCTGCACTCGGACAACAAAGGTTTCCAAACCGAACATGCAGACAACTCTTTGATGTCAACGGTAAATGACAGCAGAGTGACAGGATGTCTCCTCTGGCCCACGTTTATAAATTTTTGGGGAGGATCGCAGGGATTCCTCTCATGAGCTGAAGACACGGTGTGACCAAATATGGTTAATTGAGGGTGTTTCTGTATGTAAATGATGGTGAACAAACACGAGCACAGGTGAGATTTATCATCAGGTGATAGAGGAGGAACGAGAAGCCATCTGCGTTCGTATGAGCAGGAATTTAGAAATATTCTACGAACGTTTGATGCGTAAAGCTCCTGGACTCCACCCCGACTCTAGGTGTCAGTCAGCAGCGGTACAGCCGAGTTCTGCAGATGTTCTCTTGAGTCTTCTAAAACGCCGTTGAGCTCTGTTACAGAACACTCACCCACGGGTCTGCTGCCTCGTCTCGTTGCACCAAACTAAAAGCTTCCTGGAATGTCTTCATGAGTTTGGCTAAAGTGGAGCTGGATCTTTAGTCCTCAGCTCCTCACAAGGAGGAACAGGTGGTTCCAGACTGGAGATGCATCAGACCACAGGATAAACTTGTGATCAGCTGATCTGGAACTGTAACTGTAGCTTTGATTTGTCACCCCGCCTGCAGCATCGCCCTCCGATGAAGAAGGTGCGGAAGTCGCTGGCCCTGGACGTCATGGAGGTGAATCCTCCATCCAAACGCAAATCCGGCAAGATGGAGGCCAGACGCACCATCAAGGTGGAATGTGTAAATAAACAAAAGGTTCAGTCGTCTGTAGATGTGAGTTCTGATGTTTTTGCCTCCTGCTCACAGGAGGAACCCGTCACCGTTCCTCTCAACTCCTCATCGTTCCGGAGCAGGAGACATGAAAGCATTCTGGACCAGGGGTTCCTGCTGGGGCCAAGTGACAGCGCCATATTTCCCAGTTCACTGCCTCCACTTCCTGTAAGTCATCCCCTCCCAGTATGACCTCAGCACCAGTGTACGTAGTTCTGATCTGAAGCTGGTTTCTCTTTCCACAGATGTCCAGGGAGTGGGAGAAAGTCGTTTGTGGACAAACTAAAGATCAGCTGATAATGACGGAGAAAGCAAGGCGCTACCTTCGCTCTCTGAAACGCAGCGCTCCAAACCGGGCTCTGGTTCTGTCCTGAGTTCGGTTGCCACGCCAACGTGGGCAGAGACCAGCGACTACAGGGTTCAAAGAAATGACCCGTTTGAGAGTGTGGTGCTTCTAGATGTAGGCTAATCATTGTTGATTTCAAATGTTAGAAAAGAACTTTGAATGTAAAAACAAGGAATCAAGATTGTAACATTTTGTAAAAATTGTGGTTTTATGAATCTGGAAAGTGTTTTTGTACTGTTGTGAACAAAAAAAAAACCCTCAGGAAACATCTTCACATCAGTTTTACTGTAGAACCTGTTCACCATAAGTAGAATTAAAACCTCAAGTCTCACAAATTACATCCCACTGCAACCCTAACAGCAACTTATCAATATTTTAAAAATGTGACCTGTTTTTATACAGTAAAGGTTGTGTAGAAGACCTGTTCTGACCACTGTTTGCATAATGCGTTGTTATTTAGCAATATTTGTAAATATAATTAGAGTTGGGTATTATCTCACTCATGTAATAGATGGGTTTAATGAAAACATCTATTTTTCCAGAATGTTTGTTCTATTATTTTTCCACATCTAAACTGTTTAAAGGCTTCAGTAAAACCAACCAAGTGACAGAGGATGGCAAACTGATAAAATAAAATATATGATTCCTGCCAGATAATTCAATTTGAGTAATGTAACTTTAGATCAGCAACTATTTATCAAATCAGACTTAACAAAACAATAACAGAGTGCTTTGAAATGGATGTGGTTAAAAATACAAAAGTGCAAAGTGGTCTATTTGATTCTGTTTATTTCCCAGAACATTGATGAACTTGGATCTGCGATAAAACAAATTGCCACATCAGGAATTGACTATCTTTTTACCCTGCTTTTATTTTGAAATGCTGCTTTTATGTTGCAACCATGGGCATGGTAACAACAGCCTAAAATCTCATTAGTGAATTACTCTGTTTAAAACATCTGTTCAGTGTTACACGTATGAGTTACATTAGATGATTTTAAGAACTTGAGCTGCTTTGAGCATGTACATGACACAAGAATTTCCCTCGGGATAAATAAAGTTGTTCTTATCTAAACTTCACTGAAGAACCAGTGGTGGCGCTATAGCTACCCCTGGATTAGTCATTGCACCCCCAATTTTAATTTAACGTGTGGATGTGATAGTATTTAACATACAAAACAAAAATAATCAGTAAATTATATAGATAGTAAAAACTTAAACCATAACAGAAAATTGATGTTAACCTTTGACCCCATTTTCCAACTGCGAACGAGTGAAAGGTAGAGCTAGTGGTAAAATGGATCGGTTTTTGTTGCCCAAATTTCCACAGGTTCAGTCAGAAACGAATGAGTCTTTGGAAGTGATCTCAGACCCACAAAAACCTACGGATATGGATGAAGAGCGTCAACCCTCAACCGCCGCAGCAGTCGAGGGTTTTGTCGCTGGAAATGCTAACGTTAGCTAACCTTGCAACAGTATAAATGGTTTTCTGTGTGGCTGTATGTACAGAAGTGTAAAACTAAATACAAATTCGTGCTTTTATTTTTTGAAGTACAAGCTGCTTACCCGGAAGTTATTAGTCTTCTGACAGCTCTTTGAGTACCCGGATGTATTCGTCGGTTTTGGTGACGCTGCATTAGACTTCCAGAAATGAACTGGTCTCGTAAGTACACCTTTAAATGGGCAAATTAAGCGTTTATAATATGCTTCTTTCCAAATGTTTATGGTTTAAATACTCTTATTTAGTTGCTGTTTGCAGAAGAGTTTGATAAAAAGCTGTTTGGTGTTTGCAGCCCGCTGCTTTCCAACGACGTTAGCTTAAACGTGTTGTAGCTAACCCCATTAGCACGGACTGACCGTTGATTCAATGAATGAATGACTAGAATGTGTTTTTGAATAAAAGTGATCTTATACCGTCCTGTTGTAGTTGGTTTGGGGTGAGAGTTTCTGGTGTTTTTCGCAGAGCTGCTCGGGTTGCTCGTCCTCAGCCTGGCTCCTGCTGGAGCTCAGGCGCTCACACCGTCCCATTACCTGTCTCTCTCCGATGTGAGCCGACTCCAGAACCTCCTGAGCCAGCCCTTCACCGACCTGCAGTCCGCTTATTACTCTGTGGTTGGTCTCTCAAAACTTGGAGGCATCGTTCCCGATCACCAAGTAAGAAATTGTGTTTTTCCCCTTCACCTGAATTAAAAACCAATGAAAGTGATTAAAATTCTGAATAACAAACGATTCCTTACTGAAAAGACCATTCAATTAGGAAGTTACGTAATATTAGAATTAATCCCATTCTCGAGGGCCACCCGATGGAAACTTGGTCAACATATAGAAATCCAACTCCTGCTCTTCAGGCCTTTAGATGTTTGTTTTAATTCTAGAGATAAATGATTATTTACTGTTTTTCCCAGTAAGAATATATCTACGAGATGTCGGTATTTATTTATTTCTAACGTCTTCCTCAACATTTTCACGGATTATTTCTATTAAAATATTTTCCCACCTGCCATCAAAAGGGCCTAAAAGGTTCCCTAAATAAAACCCTTAACTTTAACAACAAATCTCAGAGTTGTGTAGATGAATAGCAGACATCCTGTAGCTCTGCAGCTAAGCTGTCGTTGCTGTCAGTGACACATCTCCTGGGTAGATCATTTTAATCAGAGATGATCTGAGTTCTTCCATGTGAACCAGCAGCTCCGTTAGATCCTACAGCTCATACTTATTGGTTACCGAGAATTTCAGACTTCGTTTTCTAAATTTCTCCATGAACTCGACTGTTTTAAACGATGTGCTTCGATTCTTCCTGGCAGCACAAACTCTAGAGGGGAGGGGCTGCTAGTTCCAGTGCATTCTGGGACATGAAGTGTCAAAAATACTTCACACCTGTGTACTGGTTATAAAAACTGTAAAATATGATCTCACAGGCCAGTATAAACAAATACAGCACATGTACTTATCATCCCATGAATCTGTCACGTTTGAATGAGCAATATGTTTTTATACCTACGAGTTAGTCTTGTGGATGGGATGTTGCAAACTTCCACCTCAAATTGGCATCTTTTCTGCAACACTTGTTCTATGTACTTATAGATATTACACATCATTTAAAAGCTGAAAGTCTGTGGTTTAACCATAACTGTAGATGCTTTAGTCAAACCCAAACTTTACAAATGTCTTAAGTCACGGTTCCAAGCGGCATGTCATGGACAGAATATAGCCATCTCCAACAAGAATGGTCCTTCAACATCCAGAAGGTGACAGCGTCCTGAACCAATATGTAAAGCCCCACCTCCCACCCACCTATTGGCTGACTATGGCGCGTTATGGGGGCCAAAATTAAGACTACTGCCCAGCAGCAGGAGGCTATATAAGTTCCGAAGCAAACTACCGACCTGATTAATGATCAGCTGGCGCCGGTAACTGAGAGGCTGGCGCTGCTTACTGAGGAACAGCACCTTTACTGGCGTTACTACTAGATACGCTAGGGACTAGCAGCCCTCGGCTGGTCATTGACTGGTTCACACACTCCCTCTGCTGTCTGTTAGCATGGATAGGCTAGTGTTAGCATTGAAGAGGCTAACCATTAGCGTGCCTAGGCTGGCCACTAGCTGACTAGTGACTCTCCGAGACGTGCTAATGGCTAGCCTCTCCGATGCTAATGCCAGCCTATCCATGCTTAAGGTCCGTCGAGGGGGTAGGAAATCCAGCTAGTAGCCAGCCTAGGCACGCTAATGGCTAGCCTCTCCAATGCTAACACCAGCCCGTCCAGGCTAACGCTAGCCTATCCACGCTAATAGACAGCAGAGGGAGTGTGTGAACCAGTCAATGACCAGCCGAGGGCTGCTAGTCCCTAGCGTATCTAGTAGTAACGCCGGTAAAGGTGCTGTTCCTCAGTAAGCAGCGCCAGCCTCTCAGTTACCGGCGCCAGCTTATCATTAATCAGATCAGTAGTTTGCTTCAGAAATTATACAGCCTCCTGCTGCTGGGCAGTAGTCTTAATTTTGGCCCCCATACCGTGCCTTAGCTGACAGACAATAGCTCTTATTTCACATGTGTAGTGCGACTCAGCTGCGGCACAGTTTATAGTTTATTGATTAAATAGGTCATAAATTTAGGAAAACAACAGAGCTGTCACTTAAAACACACACAGGAGGTTTCCGTGCAAAAGGTCTAAATGCAACCATTGATGCTTTTTAATGTGTATTTGGTTTCAGCAGGAAATGTTATAGTGTTATATCTTTTTCTATCCGTCATTACAATCAGCCTAAATTTAAAACTTCTTAACTAACCTGATCAGAAACTAAAATCAAGTCAAACTCGGTTAAAAAAATCTGATGAAGTGAAGCTTCTGAATGAAGAGGACGAGCGGTTCGGTGCAGTCGGGCTAAATCTGTGGAATCTGAATGTTGTTTTTTAGGAAGTGTGCCAGTTCCTGAAGTCTCAGCTGGACCCCAGCAGTGTGGACTCGCTCTTCTTTGCTGCTGAGACCAGTCAGGCCATCTCAGGATGCGAGGTGGGACTCTTTTCTGTCTGTGACCACTCTCACAGGCTGTGACTTTAAGAGAAGAAGACATGGTTGTTTGTTTATAAAAACACAAACGGGCATCAGGGTAACTGAAAGGCCTTTTATGCATCAAATAGATTTTAATGTAACTTTAACCTGGCAATAAAGTAAAAAAAAATTAGGACATTTCCTTATTTTTTCATAAAACCTAAATGTCTTTGATTGTTTTCCCATTCCCAGAGCAGGGCCTCGTGTATCAGCCGTACTGGCACACAGATCTGTGTGTTCGTCGTGCGTAGGAACTGACGTAGGCGTTGTGTGGTCTTCATCCTTTAGTACATGTGGGTGAAAATGTTCCTAAACGTAGAAAACCTCAGACCACGCGTACCAGCAGCGTCTAGCGGGGATGGGAGGGAGCGGCAACACCCAAGGCCTTAGCCGTCCACACGTGTTCCTCATCCACAAATTATTTTACCCAATAAATAAATATTTAGGCGGAGTCACATGATTGGTGCTAAAGCCTATAAGACACCTGTGAGTGATCAGAATCTGACGGCGTGTCGTAGCTGATTTAACCTTTTAATCAGTTTTTGACTCTTCTCTTTCTTTATATTTTTTATTAATTATTTATTATGATTTTCCTCTTTAGCTTTTTGTTCTTGTGACTGTTATCTTGGGAGACCCTAAGTAAAAGATCGTTTCTTATTATTCTAGCTGCCTCCTGCAGTTAGGCGGTCTACTCTTTGCCGGTTTTTAAGAGTCTACTGAAAACTCTTTATTTTTATTAGCATTTCCAGAACATGTTTGAAGTCGGCTTGCTTTTGTGTTATTTTAACTTCTTGCTTTAAATAGCTGTTTTATTCCTTGTTAGGTGGCTTTTATTCATTGTTTTATCCCTTTGCCGTATGCTCTACGTTTTGTGTTCTATGTTTTAACTTCTCTTTTTACGACTACAAGTCTGTTTACAGTGTGTTCTAGGGTTAGGGTGCCCGAGAAGGGTTGTGGAAGGTGCTAGATATAACTAAATGCGTGCTCTCAGGGGGGAAACGCGTTTCCGTGAGCTCTCTAGGAGGTCCGCCTGGAGCTGTGCTGGGATTTGGGACACTTTGTGGAGCGACAGACAAATCCGATTCTGTTTTACATCCACGAGAACCGCCCAGAACCTCCTCGATCATACCCATGACCAGAGAATACGTTTCCTAATAAATCCAACTCCAAACAGAACGACTCCTTGAATGTAAACCGTAATGAGCTCCTGTTAGTCTGTATGATTTATGTGGAGCCGTTTCCACTTCCCGAGACCTCTTCTCTGTCCCGACCGCGTTTACAACCTCTGCAACTTGTCTGGTTCTTTAGCACTTCAGCAGCCTGTGTCTCAACCTCGCTGTCAAAGATTTCTTTTTTCTTTCTTTCGGGAAGAACCCCGGGATTCCCCTCAGGAGCGGAGGACGTGGTGGGACCCAGTGTGGTTAATTGAGGGCGTTTGTGTATGTAAACGATGATGAACGGTAGGGCTGCTCAATTAATCGAATTTTAATCACAATTACGATCTGAGTTTTGAACGATTATGAAAACAAAACAGGCCGATTATTTGCTCCTCCCACTTGCGCTGCCCTGAGTTGCAAATGAAGCGCTCCTCCCACAGTGTTGCCAGCTTAGCGACTTTGACGCTATTTCTAGCAGCTTCTCAGACCCCCTTCTTGACTTTTTAACTTAAAAGTACCTAGCAAACACCTCAGAAACATCTCTGGTAACCCTTAGCTACTTTCTGGATAACTGTCGTCGACATTTCCTGCAGGTTAGCTAAACACTCCGCCTGCGCTCCGGACCGTTCTTCAGGACATTAGGAAAGGGAATGATGTAGTGATGTGTCAGTCGCTAAAGAAACGGCTCTCAGAGCCGGTTCCCTGTTGGAGTAACCAGAGTGAGTGACACACACACACCGCACCTGCGGACTCCTGAGCCACTAAAAACGGCGTAATGTGCGTGTGCGGCGCGCTAAACACACGTGCAGCTTGCCCCTGATTGCTGTGAGACCGGGTTGGGTGGTGGGGGGTGCAGCTGTGGTTGGGACAATTATTACATTAACTGATGGACTTGTAAATAAATAGTTTATAAATAAGGTAGAATAAGTTCCTCACGCTGATAATTAATCTCTCTGAGGACGCGGTGCTAGTGCACGCTCCTACAGCACTTTGACACGACTAAATAACAGATTGGTCACATGGTTATTATTGACTAACAGTTGTTTTGATTAGCTTTATTAAAATAGAGTTCTTTGGTTAATTAAAAGAAAAGAGTTCATTCTTCGTTCTTCTGTCTTCACTGCTGGAACGTAAACATCAGGAGTGAATGCACGACCTTGGGCTGTTTCATGCACTCTGGCACTGAGTCAAACAGAACAGCTGTTAGAGGGGAGACATGGCTCCTTCATCACCTTACATCAGGATGTTGACTGTTCATAGGAAGGAACATGGGATGAGATCGCTGGTGAAGCAGTACTCTCACATTATTTTTTCATAATGAGTTAATTTAATTCACTAAAGGCTGTTTTTGTTTAACACGCCTCATAAAAGAAACCTTTAGGTGAAGCAGAAAATCAGCGTTGGTCCAGCGTATTCATGTAAAAGGAGTTCGGAGTCGTATCTTGTGGCACATCCTGTGCTTTTGTTATTTATTCGTTTATTTGAGGCCGACTGCCATGTTTTTCCTTTTTAAATCACCTTTTTCACACTCCTGTCGGGGTTTTAAGCCGACTCGTGTCGGAGTCGTGTTTCCTGTTGCTCTTTCACTCTCACACCTGCTTGCACAGAGGGTTTGTTTTAGAGATCACTGCGACTCCGTCGCTCACCTCACTTCTGTCTGATTCTGTGAAAGCTTTTCCAAAACCAGAGCGTTGCTTTCCCGAATGGAATTGTCTGAGTTGCTTTATTTAGAAAATGGTTTCCAGTTTCTTTTTGATAATAATCCCAGTGGGGTTGAACTGGTTATGAGTACAGTGTTTATGTAGTCATGTCCGTTATAGCCAAAAGCACGTTAATAGAGAAATAATGCTGACCATAGTTCATCAAGAGCTTTCTTTGCCTCTCAGATCCCAGTGTCCAACGAAACCCGGGACATCCTCCTGGCAGCAGTCAGCGAGGACTTGTCCATGACCCAGATCCATCGGGCCGTGGGTGCCCTCAGCTCTCTGGGGCTCCCGCTTGCTTCCCAGGAAGTCGTGGGCGCTCTCGCAGCTCGCATCAACAAGGAGGATAATGTTATGGCGTAAGCGTGGGCCATCAGGGTGAGGTGGAGCGACGGTCTCAGAGTTGATGTGGTTTACAACGTATGCGGTTTTGTGTTGGGACAGGATCATCTTGGCTCTGCAGACGGCATCCCGCCTATCCCAGCAGGCGGAACTGGGAAGAATCCTGGAGGAAATTGAGGTGAGCTCATTGATCTCCACCAAGTGGTGCTGTGGTACCATTTACCTCACAGGAAGTGGTTCGGGTCAGGCTGAGTCATTTGTTTTCAGTTTCATCCATTATTCCAAACAATTACATTTAATTTGAAATTCAATGTTGGTCACAAAATAAAATGTTTTACGTAATAAAGAAAAATAACAAAACCAAACCAGTAAAAGCAGAAAGTGAAGCTCTTGCTGACAAACTGAGTGTTACTTAATGTAATATAATGAACATTTTCTATTGGATAACACGGAGCCGTTCCTGCTCCTCTGCCCTACTGGTAAACCGCCCTGCTGCTCCCTCAGACCTCGCCGATGTTCACTGCGGTTTAGCTCCGCCTCCAAAGACATTACTCTCTTACTTCCAGGCTCCGCCATGATGCCGGCAAAAGAGCAAGCGTCTTCATTTTCTTCTTCTGGTGCTTTTTATCGACAGTTGGCAAAGTGAAAAAGCTAACTGCTAGCATAACAGCTAACAGCCGTAAAGCAGGTAAACCCTAACCTGCTCCACAAAACTGCTAGGTGCCGTATCTGACCAGTAGAGGGCTGCAGAGCGGTGTCAGAGATGAAGCTGGTCAGCTCCTAACTCAGCGTTAAAGCTTAAAGTTTATTTAGTGTTGCCTAAAATGAAATGTGATTAAAAGCTAATGGATGAAAAAGGCTTGGTAGTGTTTCCCGAGCGCGGCTGTGGCTGTAACTGCAGCAGGTGTGTGTGTGTGTGTGTGTGTGTGTGTGTGTGTGTGTGTGTGTGTGTGTGTGTGTGTGTGTGTGTGTGTGTGTGTGTGTGTGTGTGTGTGTGTGTGTGTGTGTGTGTGTGTGTGTGTGTGTGTGTGTGTGTGTGTGTGTGTGTGTGTGTGTGAGACAGTGGAAGTCTGAACGTAAGCGGGTAAGCTGAGCGTGGGTCCAGATTCAGGTTTTTTCACCCGTCTGACCAGCGTGTGTAGCCGTTTCAGCTCCTGGTGCTGGTGATGTTGCCGTAGTGAGACAACAAACCTCACAGACTGAACAAATCTTTATTCCTCGCCAGCTTACTGCTTTAGCCTCCTTCACGCTGTACGAACGTTTTTCCAGACCGAAGCGCCTTCCTCTGATGTGCTGCAGCTGAAAATGTTTGTTTGTAGGATCTGACGGCCCGCCTGGACGACCTGGGTGGAATCTACCTGCAGTTTGAAGAGGGACTGGAGGCAACCGCTCTGTTTGTGGCTGCTGCGTACGCTCTGTCGGATCATGTGGACGTGGAGCCCCCGCTCAAGGAGGTATGAGAAGTCACGTCCCTGTGTGTCTGAAACCAGTTTGTAACGAATGCCCCCCCCCCCCCCCCCCCCCCCCCCCCCCCCCCCAGGAACAGGTCATCCAGCTGGTGAACTCCATCTTCAGTAAGAAGTCCTGGGACTCTCTGGCTGAGGCCTTCAGCGTGGCGAGCGCCGCTGCTGCCCTGTCCAACAACCGCTTCCACGTGCCGGTCATCGTCAGCGCTCAGGGCCCGGCCACAGTGTCCCACAACCAGCCTACCCTGCAGGTACGGCCTACACGCTGGAGTTTGCTCTAACTAACTGCTGGTGGGTTTTAGACGCTGACCCTTCCTGTGTGTGTTTCACAGCTGCTGGTTACTGACGTCATGTCTCAGCCTCTGACCTCAGCCAGCGTGCTGGTGGAGTCTGCGTTTGCTGCGGCCACAAAGAGCGCCATCCTCAGCCAGACACCTTTCACTCTGAATGAGTATGTACAGTCAGAGATAAACTCCGGCTCCCAGAAGGGTCTCGGGGTTGTTGGAAGTGAATCCCAGCTTAAAGAGCAAGTTACCCCCTACTTGAAACTTCCTCGACTCCCACTTCATGTATGAAAAATGCAACAAATGCTGTTGCTAAGCAGACTGAGAGGGCGGAACCGCTAACAAATACACACAAACAGGCTCGCAACAGCATTGTGACATCATAATGTACCAGCTAACGTCATTGTGTACCTCTAAGCCAAAAGCGATGGCAGATTTAAATTCAAATGCAGTGCAGAGTTTTTACCTGAACACTGACTGTTTTAGGAAGAATATTTAAATTTTAACTAAGATGCACTAAAGTGCCAAATTATTGACTGCACGTGTCTGCAGCACGATTAGACACTCATTTATAGTTTATCAGCAAAAACAGTTGATTTGGGGGTGACTTGCTCTTTAAGGAGAAAATACGAACCAGATCATTTGCTCCCAGTAGATCCGTGTTGATGATTTTGGATCCATATAAGCCCAAAGCTTCATTCATACTTCTCCATCAGCTCTGTGAGAGAGAGAGACCCACACGGGTTGACAGATGTTTTGCTTTTAGAAAACAATTCCCTGCCAGGACAACATAGGGCGTAGCGGTATCCTGCCACCATTACAGTATCCGGTCCAGGATGGTGTATTTACGGGTGTGTTTGCATTGTTGTCATTTGTTTCCGAGACTTTTGAACACGGACAGATTTGTTCCTCATTCCCCCCACCTCTCCATACAATCGGCACGTTTCTCGTCTCTTCCCTCCACGAATAAAACCCTTCACTCCTTCAGTGACGGGTGAATAAACTTTCATATTTTCAGACTTCCTGCGATCCCGCTAAATATCTGCTGTTGATGAATGAAAACAGGAACCAGCATCCTGACCAATCACGAGCTTTTGACACATAGTTTGGGGTACCCGCAGGTCCTTAAAGTCTTAAAAAGTCTTAAATTAGCTTTTCCAAATTTAAGGCCCTAAAAATCCTTAAAAATGAGAAATAATTCTTGAATACAGTTTCCAATGGTCTTAAATTACCAAAGACCCAATAAACAAGATTCAGTTATTTCTATAAAACTTTTGTGAATTTCCAGTTGTTATCAGCATTTTTCGTGTATGATGTTGCCGTAAGCGGAACCGTACACGTTCAGCTGGTTGTGAAAGGGGGCTATTTTTAGATGAGCACATTAGGCTTGGGCGGTATCCAAATTTGAATACCGTCTAACTTCCTCTTAATTTTACCACGGTATACGGTAAATGAATACTTGAATACGTGAATACTTGAAAAGTATGACGTAAGCCTCAAGTGAACCTTCACCTTTCTGAATCCGAATACCAAACAATTACTAAAAAAATAACAACGTAACTCGCATACTATTAACAGCATTTATTAACACAAAAAAACACAACCTATAAACAAGTGCAAAGAGTCAACAGTCCAACAGCAATAAATCAACATAAAAACCCAGGACAGCTGTTGTGCGCCAGTCAAGTGAACAACTTCCCAACGAGCAGCATGAAACCGTGCAAGTAGGCCGTAACAGCCAACAAGAGTTGAATAACCATAAACATTAAAATTATAAAAATGATTTCAACCAAAACGACTGCATTAAAATTATAAAAAAACTCACACACACACACACACACACACACACACACACACACACACACACACACACAGACAGGAGTGTGAACATTACAGCATGTAGCAGCAAATCTAGTTAAGATTTCTCACCAGAAAAACCAGCATGTTTACTTTTTCTGGGTTCAAGTTTGCACGTTGTGGACCAACAACTTTACCTGCAGTGCTGAAACCCCGCTCCGGTGGTGAGCATGGTGGCACAAATACATAGACACCTCCGCGCCGTTCGTGACATCTGGTGAAAATGACTGGCAGCATATTTCCACCAGAGAGGGTCTTCGCCCCCTTGAATAACAGGTTCCAAACAGTACGCTGTTATTTCAGCTCCAGCTCTTTGCTCTGCGCTGACGGGACCCTCCGGCGCAGCGTCAGCGGCTCGTTTTTGCAGGAGAGCTCCCAGAGACATCTTTTTGCGTGGGGGTTCAGGTTGTGCTCGTTCCTCTATGGTTCGGATGGCCACTGCTTCTGGTGCTGCTTGCCCCTCTAAGCTCACGATCTCAGCCTGTAATTCAGCTTTGATTTCAGCCAGTGCGTTGTCATCAAGCTGCCACGGTAACGAGGATCGAGGAAAGTGCATTTTCGCATGAATTAACGCACTGAATCAGATTCATACTTGGCCTCCAGCTTTTTTACAATTGTGGTTTTTATTGACTTTGTAAGCTGGAGGTCGTCTTCTGATACAGTCAACACGCTCTCCCTGCAGAGCTGGAGTATGGGGAGGATAGAGGAACTGGTCACATAGTTCTCACCAGACAAAATATCAGTGAAGTCACCAACAGGTGTCAGTGCGCCATTCACAGCTTTCAAGATATCAGTATCCTGCCAGTGCAGGGACAGGTTGCTGCTTCTGTCATCAGACAGGACGAGCTTGATGGCTGGGGCCTGCTCGAGGATGCGCTCCACCATGCAGTTTGGAGCCCCGGCGAGTTGCGCAGTCCTGCCGACGGACGAAGAAGAAGAAGAAAATATCATTTCTATAGCGCCTCTCAAGATAAAAATCACGAGGCGCTTCACAAAAACAAAAAATATAAAAAATTGTAAAAATATAAAAAAGCATTTCGAAAATGTTTAAAAATATATTCAAAATGAGCAAGAATAAGCAATTGCGATTTAAAAGAAAAAATGTTAAGAAAAGAGAGAGAGTGAACAGGAAAGAGGGAAATCAGTGGATCCTGAGGAAGGTGGAATAGGTGGGGAGAGCAGAATAGAGAGTGGTGAAGAAGGTCATACAAAAGCCAGCTTGAACAAGTGAGTCTTCAGCTGCTTTTTAAAGGAGACCACTGAGTCCACTGATCTCAGACTCAGGGGGAGAGAGGTCCAGAGTCTGGGGGCCACAGCAGCAAATGATCTGTCACCTTTGACCTTTAGCCTGGTGCTGCACAACCAGTAGGCTTTGATCACTGGACCTCAGGGACCTGCTGGGGGTGTAGGGACTAAGAAGATCACCAATGTAAGATGGTGCTTGTCCATGTAAGGCCCTATAGACCAGAACCAGGATCTTGAAATGAACCCTGAAGTTGACTGGCAGCCAGTGAAGCTGGAGGAGAAGCGGGGTGATGTGGGTGTGTTTGGAGGACTTGGTCAGAAGCCGAGCACAGGCGTTCTGAACCACCTGTAGATGGTTCAGGGAGGTTCTGCAATGATGAATGACACACTAAATTAATAACTAAATAAATAAACGAATTCTGTTGTTAGTTACATGATCGAACGTTCTCAGATTCAGATATAGACTAAATGTATGCTTACCGTTACGAGACTATGCTCTGGGAGTCCCAACTCCACTTGCTTCTTGTGGAGTTCACTTTTACGTTGCCAGCTGTGTGAAAATGCCCCCACAATGCTGCGGCATAATCCGAGGGCGCGCTCAGTTTTTTGCTTATGGTCATGCAATGCATTTGTGATCGCCAAGTTTAGATTGTGACCAAAGCAGTTAAGCCACGGCCACTGCAGGGACCTGATTGCAGCAGAAATGTTTGCAGCGTTGTCGGTTGTTATGGCTGAATGTTTTTCCTCTTCGAGTTTCCAGTCCTGAAGTGCAGCTTTGAGCGCAGCAGCAAGATTCTCCGCTGTGTGACTCTCTGGAAAATAGGTTGTTTGGAGGCATTTGGATTCAAGTTTCCACTCAGGTGTAATTATGTGGACAGTCAGAGACATGTATGGTGTCATATTAACCGACGACCACATGTCAGTTGTTAAGGAAACATGATCTGCCCCTGACAGCAGCGCCTGAACATCGTCTCTGACTTTAACATACAAACTTGGGATCGCTGTTTGTGAACAATGTTTCCGTCCGGGCAGCTCGTACTGGGCATCTAGGACCTTCACCATGTCCTTAAATGACTTTTTTTCCACCATGTGGAAAGAAACCATTTCCTTTGCCAAATATGTTGTCACAGCATCAGTGCAAGTTCTCCAACGGAGACTGTCCCTTTTGTATTTTGTTGTTTTGGCAAAGGCCAAAAGGTCCGTAGGTTTGAGGTGTTTCCATTTCTCGCGGTTACCTTTTTATTGCATAATTTACAAATGGCCTCGTTGGGATTCACCGGCTCTCCTTTGTCATTTTGCTTGAAGCCGAAAAATTCCCAAATTGCAGAAGTTGTTTTCTTTTTGGACACCAAGTCAGTCGGTGCGCAACCTGCCATCTTTCGCTCAGCCTTTCTCCTCCGCACTGTCACGTGATTACGTAACGTCACGTTCATAAACTTTATGAAATATCTCCAAAAGCTTACAAAACATTTTAAAATATTTAAGTAAAAACAATAATTCAAAAACGCATCAGTTTTATACATGAAATGACTTATTTATCTTTTTCGTTGATTTTCACATTTTTAATCCTTGTCTCCTAAGTGCACACACACACAGCTGTTTTTCATGACGGTATTGGAACTGACACCGTCGCTATTTTGTAATACCGCGTGTATACGGTAATACCGCGTGTATACGGTAATACCGCGTGTATACGGTAATACCACGTGTATACGGTAATACCGCGTGTATACGGTAATACCACGTGTATACGGTAATACCGCGTGTATACGGTAATACCGTAATACCGCCCAAGCCTAGAGCACATTAGCTGGTTAAGCTAGTGGGAGCTTGCGCCATGGGGAAGTGCAAGTTTAAAGGTAACTTTTTTTTGTCGTGCCAAATCGTTTTTATTTTATTTTTTTATCTTATTTATTTTTTAATAAACCTTTATTAACAAAAATAGAATATACAATGTGACAATGAGGTTACAAGCTCACAGTTGACAACTTAGAAGAAAAGTGAGATGTGAACAAAAATGAAAACAAAGTGCCAGGGGGTATAAAAAAAGGTGGATGTACAGAAA